AATCTTAAAGTTGCCAAATTTAAGCCAATAGGAACTATGCCCTCTGTTTAGTTTGGAGAGTAACAGAGCCTGGTTCTTTCAGGGTCAGCTCACCCTGTATAACTACGGTAAGTCTCTAAGATGATCTCCAGCTTGGATTCGCTGACCAACAGGAGTGTGTGTGCTGTCTCTTTGCCACCTTATGGTGCAATCCTCCCTTTATCAGCTGTTGAGATATATTTGGATGTGGGTTTAGTGCTATTATGGAATGAGGTTAAACCCATGTTTAAAATGTCTGAATTTTAACTCCGCCCAGATATTAGCTTATATATCAACCAATATCAGGCTTCCTTTGAATACACTGTGAAAGACTTGTACAAAACCAGACTGAATTTTTCCATATGTCAAAAATTAGTGGCCTTCCTATCAAGCTCCAGCCCTGTCCCACACAAAGGAGAGTGATTGTTGGGGAATTTTGTTTTGTTATCACCTCATTGTTACCTAGGGAGTGAAAATGGGGAGGAAAGGAATGATGGGGGGGGGAAATAAAATCCCACCATTGGCCATGGTGACAGTGGTATAAGCCGGCAGTGGGTTTCACATTTTGTTACCACTGGTTCGCCACACGTGCGTGCCTTCCACACATGCCCCCAGACTTCCGTGCATGCACCTGGCCTCAAAAATGTGCCTAAATAGGATGACTTAGAGCTGGGGCAGGCCTACTTGTGATTTCCGCTACCAGTTCAGCCGAACTGCTCCGAACTGGCTGAATACCACCTCTGGTATAAAACTATAAACCTTGATTGTACCACTGTGAATCTCCCATCAGTCTGGAAAGTGGAGATAAGATGCAGCCATGTTTGAAACTAGAAGGATGTAGATCATGGCTCTCTCTGGTTTACTGGGTCATCAGCACATGTGCTGCTAGTACAGTACAACAGCTAATTGGGTTGTGTGATCATGAGCATGGCCAATTCCAAAATAAAACCAATTAAAATTTATCTCCCTTTCCAAGACAAGACACAGTGCAAAGCAATGGTTCTTCTTCTCCCTAGATAGTCCTAGAGTGAGTGTCTCCCTCAACTTGAAGCCTCTTTATAAATAAGTTAGGGAGTTTGTTCATAGGCACAATAGTGTTCATTTCCTGAGAGACCACAGTGTAAATCTGTTTACTCTATACATCACTCAATGAAACTAAACTCCCTGGAGGGATGACTCTCAGGTCATCGTGCTGACGGTTGCAACATTAAAATAATGTGCCATTGGTTAAAAGCAAGCAACTCTATCAAACAGAAAAGTTTATACTGTTGAGTGTATAACAGCAGTTTGTATATTTTTTTAAAGTAAACTCTATTAACTGAATTCTTATTTAAATGAAAATGTTGCAAGCAGTTAAGTAATTATAAAAGATGCCTTAAGTCTTACGCTGTCTTGGAATTCTTGAGAATTTTACATAAATTCTTAATAGCATTGTGGGTTTTATTAGTGGTATTTTTACGAACTCGGCTCTCCACTTCACTTATGCAAACCAGACATATAAGCACCAGTGGCAAATTCCAAATGTCATCCTGCACTGCTTAAACAAATCACTTGGCTTTTCCTTAGCATTTATTTTTGAGCCCAGTGCTGAGAATAGCAAAACGTTTATGTGTAACATTTTTCCATTCTCCTCCTTAATAACAAATAACCTAGTGGAGCAAATGGGATTGTCATAAAACTGGCCGGTTTTCCCCCCTTTAACCATATGTCCCAAAAGGTGACAAGCATGTTTGGAGAAGGGCAAGACCATCTAGGTTTGAGACCATTATTCCTTGAAAGAAAACATGCCATTCAGGGTGGTCTTCCCATATTATTTTCACAACAATGAATATTTTATTTTACAATATGTACAATATTTTATTTCCTATCGACAATGCAAACTGAAATAAGGATTGCAACAAAGGAGAAGCAAAGAAACAGAGAAGAATTTGAAATTACTCAAATTAATGGTAACAATAGGCCTCACTATGGCAACAAACACTGTTCCCAATTCCAAAACTTGGTTAATTTATTTCCCAGATTGATGCCATCAAACTGGGAATTTTCCTTTCTGTGTCTGGTAATCATTACAGAAATATGCAGATTGGTGAGGAACTTTTACGATCGCATCATGACCCTAAGAAATGTGTTTAGGATTTTAATTTAACACAGGGGAAAAGGGGATTAACACATAATCTTGCAATGAGAAAGAATTATCCCGTAGACTTATTTTATTATAGTGGCAATTTAGGTAGCATTGAGTTTGGGCAAGAGCTGCAAATTTCTAATGATTTGATAAATGTGAAAGTAATTCTAGTGCTTTTGAGTACAATTCCCACTAAACAGTAGTTAAAACAGGCATTCCATGTAAAGGCACATAAATGTAGATGCTAGACACGATTCACTTCTGAAAAACATGGTAATGATCATATAAATCCAGCTGGTGCATAGCTGCCACTTGCTGAGAATTCATCTTATGAGTTTTTCTGCTTGTTTTCATCTTCACCTTTAAGCAGAAAGGTCTACTTTATGCTCAGGAGTGTCTGTAGAGAGGGTTTGGAAAATAAGGTGGTAGCCAGAACCATGCAACTGAAGCCCCTCCCCCTTTTTAATATGTGTTGTGCTGCACATAAAAAGGGACAGGGCTTTTGTTGACATTTTTGTCCCTTGATGACACCTCTGTTTGTGTGTGTTAACTCTGCCAAAATTAAAAGGTAAAGTTGCCCTTTGGGCAAATTGAATTCTTGGTAACTTCATAGATGTGTCCATGTAGTTTTCTGGCACATGATGAATATAGTTTTAACAGAATAGAATGTAGGTATGTCCTTGGTACTCTCCGAGCTTGGTTGTTTCTTTGCAGACATTTCTTAGATAATGAAATTTCTGCAAAGCAAACAACCAAGCTCAGCAAGCACCAAGAATTCCACAGAATATGGTTTTCCAGAAAGCGTTTTCAATTTCATAGTTTATTTTCCTTAAATTTTTTTTGCTGTGTCCTGGTTTTTCACAAATCCTGTTTTACCTGTATCTTATAGGCACATAACTATTACAACTGATATGTTATTTCCAAGTTTTATTTTTGGTAACCCCATCTGAATAGAAGATATCTGCTCTTAAGTCCTGATTATAGTAGATATGATAGTACACTTCATAGTGTTGGTTATCACCTTTAAAGCGCTCCATGGCATAGGGCCTAGCTATCTTTGAGACCGCCTGCTGCCACCGACGACCTCCCATTGACCCGTGCGCTCCCACAGAGAGGGCCTCCTCAGGGTGCCATCAGCCAAACAGTGCAGGCTGGTGACCCCCAGGGGGAGGGCCTTCTCTGTGGGGGCACCTACCCTCTGGAATCAGTTGCCCCCAGAGATAAGGAGAATCCAAGACCTCAGTGCCTTCCGCCATGCCCTTAAAACCTTCTTTTTCCAGCAAGCCGGGCTGGCCTAATTTTTTTAAGTGTTTTTAATTGTTTTGTTTATTGTTTTTAATTAATGGGGCCAAATTTATATATATCTTTTAATTGTATTTTAATATTTGTGTTTGATGTTTTTACTTGGCTGTTTACTGCCCTGAGTCCTCAGGGAGAAGGGCGGTATACAAATTCAAAATAAAATAAAATAAATAAAATAAAATAAATAAATAAATAAAGCAGTGATAGGATGACTTAACAAATTGTAGTAAATGGAAGAAAAAAGAAGCATTATTTGGCCTATTATTTTCATTATGGTACCAAGACTATTAAGTAGAGTAAGACACTTTATTTACAGGATTAAATTCAACTTGGGTCTGTCTATAAAATGGCAAGAAAACAATATTTATTTTTCAGAATTACAGCTCAATAGTGCTCAATTAAGCATAGTATATGAGCCCAGCCTATCCACTAGAAAGAGTTGAATTTGGGAGTAAGAGTTGCTGGGCAGAAAGCAATTCCACTGTAGACTGCTCTTCAATTATACTGTCAGAACTATATAATAAACACAGTGTGATACCACTGTGTTTGCAAATATAAAGATCAGAAGCAATGATTGCTATGGAAACAGGAACAAACAACATTTAAGAATAGTTTTTCTACACATTTTCATCATCATCATTTTAGCTAAAACTGCACAAAATATTTTTAGTGTAACACTGCTTATCATAAGCCTTATTTATGTACACTGTGTGTGAAGCTATAATCCTTTGGCCTAAGCTCATTTACAACTGAAGAATTTGCTTTGTCAAACTTCAGTGATGTATTGCCTTGGTAATTTATAAAATGTTAATCAGAAGATAACCAAGTGTTCTTTCCTATATTAGCCCCCATAGACAGATGTGAACAAGCAGCAGTAATCTGAACTAAATCTATGAATAGGAGTTGCCATATATTAGATATATTACTGAGATGACCTGGAACTAAAGCAGTTCCAGGTCACCTCAGTAATATAGAACATTTTCTTTCACTTTTCTCTAATTTAATATTCATATAAATTTTTACCTCAAGTAATTTGTTTTCTGACTTCATTATCTTTAGTAAAATACATTTAAAATTATTGAAGTTATTCTGAACATAGCCGCATGTTCCCTTAGCTCTACCTTGAAGATGTGTTGTTAAGTGTCCTTTAAAGGCATGGCATCCTGACATCTTACCCACAGCCCATAACTGAGATTGAACTTAGTTTGCAGCTGCTGCTTTCCATCTTCTCCCAACACAAGGCTTACTATATGCATAAATTGTAGTGTTTTAGGGATGACCACAGAAATGAAACACTTGGGCATTGGAATCTGCCCAGGTCCTATTTTCCATTTTTGGATACCTAGAAACACTACTTTTAGGTACAATTGATGGGGGCGGGGGGGGGGAACTCTGTCTTTTAAAAATGTAGTCTAATTTTACCTACCTGGTCAAGATTTGCAATGCACTGATGCAGTAATTTTAGACAGTGTGAGATAAATTAGCACTGGCCTTTTATTAGAGAAGTATGTTGGCTATATTTTTTGTTCTGTAAAAAATATTTCAGGGACTCCGGTACCATCACAAGGATTTATTTAAGGAAGCTAAAACAATTAAGTGTTTCATTAATAGACTTTGGATTAACATCAAAAGGAATTTTTCAAAAGGAATTCCAATACTTACTTGAGAGTCTTTGTAATATAATCTTTGCTTAAACTTTTACTCCTGAGTCAGCTGATTAATAATTAGGTTCTTTTAGGCACTGCATTCCAAGGTTTTCTTTTGCAAATAATTTGTCCAAATACTTATGCTAGAAATAAAACTGTTTATATCCTTGTACAGAAAATAGGAAAGAATTTCTGCTCTGAGATGTATGCTGAAAAGTCTCACAACTTGTCCTTAGTTCCAGTTACAGAGAAGGGTGAAGTTGTTGGTATTTGCAGTATTTTTAAAATCAGATTGGAGGCAAAAATAATACAGTTTCAATTTAAGATTCTATTGTACAAATTTGTTCTCCCAGGCTTTTAACTAAATATTATGAAAGTTGCAGTGCTGTTGAAAAGAATAATTCTACTGACAGACGTTAATATATATATATATGAATATCCTTTAATTTGTAGCATCATTGCTAATGCTTAAGAATTAGCGTCTTCCAGATTTATTGGTATAGGATTAGTTACAGGAAATACTTTCTGCTTTAGATCTGCATTAGCATAAACTCCACTTTCATCTTGCCATGTGTTGATCCCATGTCTCCTATAATCTGCTGTGTCGGTAAACTGGGAATGACATTTTCTATGTACTACAGAGTACCCGCTCGTATCAGGTGTAACCTAAAGGGAAGGCATTCATGTATATTATTACTCAAAAGAAAGTTTTGAGGAGCAAACTTTAACATTGGCACCACTGTATACCAAAAATAAATGTAGTTGGTTAACACATTTCTTTTCCAATAACATTTTGATTATTTAAATTTCTCAAATTTAGAAATGTGCATGGAAAAAGCTATGTGAGTGGCAACATTTTATACTGGTTTTCCAAACCAGCAAATTGTACTCATCTCTAATGCATATGATTTTCAATGTTTAAAAGGACTATGTTTTTCAATGTTTAAAAGGTAGTAGTACATAATACCATCCTGTTTTCATAACCAGCAAAATCTTGGCTACCTATGAAGAATACAGGCCTGTATTCTCAGACATAGCCTATATCTGCAGATAGTTCTCGAGTTATGACCACTATAGAGACCAGAAAATGAAAATCAATCATTGTGGTGCAGTCATTAAGAGAAGCATCGTTTGACTGCACCCAATTTTATGACATTTTTCCCATGTTCATTAAATAAACCACTGCAGTTATTAAGCAAGTCATCACATGATCATGATTCTTGCCATCTTCTCCATTGATTTTGTTTCTCAGAAGCTGACTGGGAAAGTCACACATGGCAATTATGTGACTTCAAGACACTGCAACTGTCCTGAGGGCAAGTCAGTCGCCATGTGCTTGGATCATGATCATGTGACTTTGGGAATGCTGCAACAATCATTAAAAGTGAGGACCGGATGGAAGTACTTTTTTTTTTTTTTTGCAGTGGCATAACTTAGAACACTTGCTAAAAGAATAGTCATTAAGTGAGGATTACCTGTAACATTTAAATATATTATGTATCATTTACTAAAAGTAACTATGGCAATTTTGTCTGAGCATACATCATTTTCTTTTTTTTTGCAGTTTCTTTAAATTCTTTTTGTCTTTTTATTATATAAGTTGCTCAAACTAATTTTGAGCTCAGCAACCTTCCAAACTTCATTAATTAGATAAATAAAACCAGACCTAGTACGAAACAGGAACAGTTAGCTCTAATGAGAAAAGCAGGTTTTTGCAAAAAGAATCACAGCGAGCTTAGGAATTAATGGGTCGTTTTTCTTTGGATAGAAGGAATGGGAGAAAGGCTTGGGTAATAAGAGCATAGAAGTGAAGCAAATGTCTGGGAGGCAATACAGAATTATATCCAGGAGCCATTATGTTCAAGGAAGCCAGGTATCTAATACCTAGGAAATTTGGGAGGAAGTAGGTAAAAGCAGGGTTATCCAATCTTGGCAACTGGAAGACTTGTGGACTTCAACTCCCAGAATTCCCCAGCCAACCTTGCTGGGAATTCTGGAAGTTGAAGTCTACAGGTCTTCAAGTTAACAAGGTCGGACACTCCTGGGGTAAATTAAAATAAAAACATGGAGTAAGGAATAAAGATGTGTGGGAATAGAAACTGTGAAATTATGAATTAGATACGGTTGGAAACATAGAGAGGCTACCCAGCCAATAGACTACTAACAAAAACTTCAGGAAAGTAAAATATGAGAAATATTTTTTATAAACTAACTTAAAAGAAATACACTTACAGCTGGTGGAAGCTAATATTCCTGTTTCTAATATCAACAAAATGATCCAAGGGTAACCATGTGTGACAGAAAGTGAGCTATTCCATTAGAATAATTGATGATATATTTTTCTTTTTGGGGCTGCCATGGTTACAAAAAGTATGATCACAATCTTACTTCATTAGATTCCTAATTTATTTAAAAAAAGGAATCCAGACTGAATTATTATGCAACAACATGCATCCCTCTTCATTTATTGGCCTTGTGCAATCTGAAAGGTTCTTTTTAAAAAAAAAAAAAATCACAGATATACACAGACAGAAACATAACAATGTTCTCCTGATGTTTTCAATTGTAGTTTTGTTATATAATTAACTTTTTTTCAGAATCATAAAAGTAGAGGCCAATAAAGAACACAATGCAATTTGTAATCCAAATAAGAACCACTGTCATAGGTTTGATTTTGCAATATACCAGAGACATGGAAATAATGCATTCTTTTACAAATGGTACTAGAAAACAATGGAAATCAAAGATTGTTAACAGCAAAAGATATCCCTTATTCTTTTATTTCTGTGTTAATGTTTTGCGTTCTCATTTTCATCTTCTATCTTATCTTCTACCTCAGTCTTGTCAAACTGGTGGCCCACAAGCTGGATATGTCATGCGCAGGTTACACCCACCCCGGTTCCGCAAAGGCAAAAAAGTCACAATGCGTCATGATCTGGCCCATGACGCAATCGAGTTTGTTTTTTTTTTAATTTGATTTATATGCCGCCCTTCTCTGGAGACTCAGGGCGGCTTACAATGAGTTTGACACCGGTGTTCTACCTTATCTATCATTTGTAGTCATATGTATCTTATCAATGATTTCTAGTACAGCCCATAGTTCTATATCCTATACCTTTATAGTTTTTATTCAGCTTTATTTTATTTCTGCTCTGATTTCTTTTTAATGTAACACTTTTCTTCTGCAGGCCGATGCATGACGTATCACTTATGTGGCTTGTTGGGTACTAGAGAATTTGGATTATTCCAGATTCCAGTTCCTCAGATTCAGTCCCTGAAGTTGTATTGACCATAAATGCTGGTCCCCTTTGAGATTTCAAGGCTGGGGATGGTGGGAATGCTTCTGACCCTGTTGTTATCATTTCCCATGTTTTAGACCACTCTGTCGCTGGCCCCAGTCTAATACATCTATAAGATAAGCCCACTCAAATGCTGTACTATAACTAACGTACTAATTTTGGATATTGCTTAACTGTTTTCAAAATAAAATCTGCTAAATATAGTGCTCCAACTGAAATCTTATTGTCAATTGTCATAATATTCGCCCAGTAGTAGCTGCTTATTAAAATCCTGTTTTGCATAACAGTCCAATACCCTTTATTTTCCCATATTCTTTCTATTCCCATGTACTTACATATGGTATATAGTCATATGGTGGAACATAGTCTAATCGGTATGTTGTATCCATAAACCTGTAAAACATAAACCATGTAATAAGATTAGCTCCACACTATTTTTTTAACTACATTTACAAACTCATTAAATATAATTGAAAATGTAGGTAATCTTTTTCTTAGAAACCAAAATCTAAGCAATTTTTCTCAAGGTTATTCAAAGCAATTAAAATGTCTTCTAGCCACTATTATATTTCCCTGTTATAAATTATTTTTGCAGATGTCAGGGTTTTTTTTCTTTTTTGGGAGAAAACATGCTATAAGATCTGAACATATAAAACATAAACCTTTTCAAACATCTGTTTGATTAATTAATATCTCACACAATGACAAATTGGAGTATTCTTAGATGGTTGCAAATGTTTCTGAAGAGAATTACATATCTATGAGAAGTCTCACTGTTTACATTCAGTTAAATATTTCTATATCTTCAGCCTCAAAAGTTCTCACTAAGACTTACAAGCAAACAGAATAAATGTTCTGCTCTCCCAGCAATTAGGCAAGGTTTAAAATTATGTCTTCAAATTTATAGGACAACTACCACAGTACAAGGATGAAGTTGGATTTGAGATATGTTTAATGTTTTCATAACTCTGAGTACCAAAGGGACCTGTGGCAGACACATTTCCATCTCATCCAGGGGTGAAATGCTCCTGGATCGGACCGGATCGCCCAGTCCAGTAGCAATCTTGGCCATTGGTTCAGCGATCTGGTAGCGATGGCAGAGCAAAGCTCCACCCACCACCTGGGGGTCATTACTTCCTGGTTTTAACCAGGAAGTAATATTTTTTACCTTCTGCGCATGCGCACAAGGTTTTGTGCATGCACACAAGGTTTTGCGCATGCGCAGGTCTGTGCGCACACGTGACATGTGGCACATGTGCTTCCGAACCAGTAAGGAAGGTAAGTAGATTTCACCCTGATCACATCTCTTTTTATTCATTTCTTTCACACACTCTCAGAAGAAGAAAGCATGAGTATAATCAATGTGGCTTCTCACATTTTAGAATTTATCGTAGTTAAGGCCTTATGATTAAACCTTTTGTGGTCACAAGAACATGTTTTGCAAGATGCCATGTCAATACATAAAAACAAAACGTACCCTTATCATCTTGCAGTAAAGATCATTTTGTACCACCTTTTCTTTGAAAAATGATCTCACTTAAGTTTCTGTTCCAATCCAGTGACTAAGTTTTGGAACAATTTCCAAGTTACAATCAAGGCAGATGATCCATCTCTTGCAAGCAAAATAAAATCTAGCTTTTAGGAACTAAGAAGGGAGCTTATGGCAGCTGGATTTAGCTTCCTCTTCATATTCTTTCCCTGATCTGTTTATTATTCTTCGTAGAGCAAATATAATATATCATATTTCTGTAGAAACAGAACTGGTCAACAATCAGTTCAATTTACAAACATTACTCATTTCCTGCACAGAATAATGTCAGTGACGTTGATAGTGCTGGGGATGCATTCTGTGCTCCAGCAGCCCACCATGGCTTCTGAAATCTAGTTATCAGGGTTTTTTTCCCCTACTGCTAGGAGATCGGGAGCTTTAAAAAATCCAGAGAATTACTAAATTGCAATAAAGATTGCTGCCATCTGGTGGTTACCTAGATTTCTGCACCAGGTTTTTCGTAGCTCTACTTTTGGAGAGAATATATCGGTACTCTGAACATTGTTGAAAAATTAGACTGATCAACTTTAAGCATCCTTAGAAAATGACTTCTCTGTTTCAGCCTGACTTCAAGTCTAGGTAACAGCAGGACAGAAGTGCAATCCAATTAATTTCCTTATAAGTAGTGGCCTTTAATATCACGAGACTTGATATATTTCTGTTGCATCTTTGAGGATTACTATAGTACCAATGTTCTTATTTTCAGAACTGTTTTTAAAAATTGGAAAGTACTTGATTCCGTGGAATTGTTTCAAGGGTTCTTATACCACCTATTTGGTTGCCCATATTATATAATAGTAAATTAGTCATTGTGCTATTGGCAGGGCCGGATTTAGATGAAAAGAGGCCCTAGGCTATTCCACTTATGAGGCCCTTTCACCTATAGTGAAAGTGTAATTTTAATTTTGCTAACAATTTGAATGTAGGCCCCTCTTGATCTTGAGGCCCTAGGCTGAAGCCTAGTTAGCCTATAGGAAAATCCGGCCCTGGCTATTGGTAATCTATAGCTTTCAATATCTTCATTGTGTTGAAACAATGTGCAAGCAAAAAAAAAAAAAAATCCTAGATAATTAAAACTGTTATGCATTTCTGTTTTCACCTGATTTAGAAACAGGTGTAGGAAGGCCAAAACCACCCCATGACATCTTGACTCTCTTTCCTTCCTTCCTGTCCACCTAATGAACTCCAACAATAAAAAGAAAAGCTTAAGCCTTTTGACACCTAGGCTGAAAGTAAAGCATGTCTCAACATAGATGAAATTGGCAAATGTCACTAAATAAGAAAATCTCAAGATATTATTAGTTCTTCACCCCCTTGACTCACCAAAGATATAAGATTGCAAAATTCCACAGAGAGTTAAACTGAATTTCCTAACTACCAGACCAGACCAGGGGTGCTTTCCAGTAATCCCTAGAAGGCGGGCTGAGTCCACAAACTCTCTTAAGAACAATAGGACTTATTTATAAAAGTACCTCTCTAAAGCTATGATTCATGGCCACCTGTGATTGCTATAACTGTCTGTCATGCTCTCAAATTTCACCTCTACTTCTAGCAACTGTCCTATGTTCTTTGGAACAGCAGGCTCAGAACGGATCAAGAATTTCTTTTAACACAGGGAAAAAGAGGTTACTTGACCAAATCAAGGGAAACCCTGAGTATGCAGAAGAAAGTGCCTCCGGCATTCCCACAACCACACCAGCTGCAAACTAGAGACTGCCCTTATTTAAAAAACCAAACATTCTAGTAGTGGTTTTTGCTTAGTGGAGCAGCTGCAAGTAAGCAGCCCAGCACACAAGAACCTCCCCAGAGAGTTGTGGGAAAAATCAAAGAATTTTGTTTTTATTTCTGATCTGTCTTTCCATTCCTTCCCACCTTTCTCCAAAGCGGTGAATGTATTTGCAAGTAAGTTCAGCCACAGGCATAGGAAAGTTGAGTTTACAGCATGATGGTTATGAAGTACAAATCCAGCAGGCTGTTATGGACAAAGCTCCCTAAAAGCAAAATCTCCCAAAGGTCTAAGAAAAATTTAGGATATGGTATTAAATTATTAGTAGAAAGACAAAGAAGTCAATGGGAAATCATAAGAAACCAGTTTCATTAATTTGAATGGAAATAAACTGATAAATTATCAGTTCTCTAGTACAAATGAACAACATTGAAATAATTGAAACTGAAGTTTAAGTGTTCTGGTAATACCAAGAATAAAATTATCAGATACTTTTAAGTACCAAGATAATGTTATGAGGTACAAATATAGGAACTTTTATCATATTACAGGTCTCAATAAGCATCAACATGAAGCACAACAAAATCTGAACTTCATAGTAAAACTGAAATAATTAGCATATATGTATATACAAACATTTTAAACTTCTCTGGTGGGTGGCGTGGTAATACAGCACCAAAACCTGTTTCAGGTAGCTCTGTTTCCCTGAGGGGGAAAAAAAGAGAGACAGCTTTCAGATTGAAAGGAAAATTAAAGGAAAATGCAAGCTTTATTATTTTAGATCCAATTGACAATACTGGATGGACGGATGGGTGGGCAGCCTTAAGTCAAAATCAATTCAATGGGCTTTACAAAGGAAAAAGCGTAGGGCAATGCAACCTTAGAGAAAACTAGTATTATGTCTTTTTTATATGTGTGTTTTTTTATTTCTTTACTGTACTTTGCATTGTTGCACTGCCCTCTACTGGATGAATGTTGTCAAATTATTTAAACATACTAAAAAAAACCATTACATTAATTTTGTGGTTCTTGGGATATCAGTTATTGTTTTCTCCTTTTATTTAATGCTTTATGAATGTTAATGAACTGTAAAATATATCAGAGATTAGATGGAGTAATTCTTGAAATAAAGGATTAATTGCTCCCAAAGTTTTTAAAAACAAATATAAGGTAGAAAGAAATAGGACAAAAGAGATGATCATGATGTATTTTATATGATAGTATTATTTAAATTATTATAGATGCAAAAATATAAAAAATACCTGTCAACAACAATTGTGTGAAAGCCATCTTCATCTAGCAAAGGTTTCAAAATCTCTAGTTCTTTATATTCTTTTTTGCTACAGGGAGATGATAGGTAATCTTGATATGTTGTTATCCATTTCTAAAAGTAAATGTTAGAACAAGGAATCATTATGTAATTCCAATGTAGTATATTTTTTTAAAGTACTCTGATAACCAACACTTAACATCTTAACATCTGTTGAAATCCTGGAGATATAATTCACTCTTATAATTTAATAAACATTGCTACTAAATGATAATAAAACATCTACAAAACTGAACAATCTGGGTTTGGGTGATATTCTTGAAATCATTGGTGTTGATTGAAATTAATGTAAGTGGTTTTAATACCCATCTTGAGTCTTCTAAAACTTTTACACAATATTTATTAACTTAATAACAATATACAGGTGTATTCTATGAATGGCTTTGCTGTGTGGTAATATATTGATAATAAATAAATATGAATAGGATACATCAACATAATCAAACAAACATGCTATCAACAATAAGCTATCTTACTTGATCCGTGGTTCCAAATCTCCAGTAAGTAGACTGACATAAGTTTTTAGAACCCAAAGGAATTTTATGTATATCATAATCCTTAGGTTCAGCATCTCTATTCTGGAACCTTTATAAGAAATAATAAATAGTAATACTAAAACATATTTTAAAAGTTACTAATATCTACATTACTACTGACATAATATTACAAGTCATATCCAAATATATGTATATGCAGAGTCGATTACATTTTTATTTTAATCAACGTCCCATACAAGAGCACTTCTCAGAAAGTGTTAAAAGTTTCTAAATAAATCTGAAATCAAATCCAAAATAAACCCAAAAATTTGAAAAAGTCAACTTCAAATATTATTGCTAACTCAATGACTAAGCTTCATATTGAAAACAGCCAGAATGAATGACACCTTGTGGCTTAGTCACATCTGGTGAGGTTTTGTTTTTTTTTAAAGAGAGAATGATCATAAACCACATCAGACCAGTGAACAGTACTTTTTTCTTACCAGCCAGACACAAGAGTGGGTCTCCCATAATATGCTGAATTGGAGCGCAACGTCAGCGCTCCTTTGCGCTCCATCACATCTGGTGGCCCTAATTCCATCTTCAAATGATTTTAGATTTTTCACTTCTACAGGACCACTATATCTGAAATTAATTCAGTTATTAGTAATTATTCTTCCTACTGTAGGGCACTTCACAGCAGAATATTCACATTCATTTGAATGTGAATATTCATTCACATTCATATAATAATTAAGAAGTTAATCTTGAGACCGGTACTTCACTCCCTCTGTATTATTTCTCAAAGCTCCAAGCTTTCACTGTCTTATTCTTTCAAGTCAACAAATGAACTGAACAGCAAGGAAGGAAGCCTTCGCAGCCTTCATTCTTTGCTGAACACATTAGTCTCCATGGTAACCACTGATGCTATAGAGGAAAATAACAAACCTCAAAACTATTCCGCCAAGAAGCCGGAACTACTTTTGGGTCTGTTCATTGTAAGGCAAGGGGAAAGCTACAAATAATTCTTACAAGGTAATACTATGGAAATATCCAAAATGTGAGATATCATGCCAAGCTTGCCATCAAGATGGAATTGTGAAAATATATAGTTTCCTCATCGTTTCATGGGCAGAGTCATGCTGAATTCAACCTTTTCTTCTGTAAATAATCAAAGTGTGAATTTTACAGTACCTTTTTTTAATGAAAAACACTAGTCAGTGTAATCCAGGACCTTTCTATCTAAATGTTCCCATTTTGTGTTTTTCATAACAAAAAAGCTGAAATAGTATTGGTTGAATAATTAGTAAGTGAAATTATTATAGAAAAAGGTGTTTCAGAAAGAAACTGAACTGCATATTTTAAAATCCATTTTAAAATATGCAGTTGATGAAAATCAGAAAGAATATGGACATAATAATGACAAACTTTGCTCAATCATAGAGGGAGGTAAGTGAAGACAATATGTATCATTTCAAAATGTAATAATCATATTGTATTAAAATGAATGCAAAAAACCTCTATATTACTGTAACAATTTTATTATGCCAACTCAGGGTTATAAATCCAGTGACTTAGTTCACATAATGTGCTAAGACAGCACGCTTAATAAAACCCTTAATAGCAGAATTCAGTTAATACTAAGTCAAAATGAGGATCTTTTGATCTTTTTGACAGTGTGACGAGATAAGTAGGATTAAACTCTCAAGCAAAGCAAAAAAGAGAAATGGGGGAGAAAGAAAACAATAACCAATATTAAGGCTGTGAGAACAAAAATGGGAGATAGTAGAAACATTTAATTAAGTTTTATCAACTGCTGAGATAGTTTCAGGTTGTACCAAGGCTTTCCCTTGGGCTGTAAGAATGAGAAATAAACATGATTGGTTTTAATCTTCTTCCCCTTCCCCAATTGTTAAATTATAAAATTCAGCTGTTAACTTAAACCTGTTTCAATATTTAAGCAAAACACACCAGATCTTTGATAGGAGGAAAAGTAAAGTATGGAGAAGTTAAATATTGTTTTATTTTAAAGAAAATCATCTTAAATTATGTGATAGGTAAAAAAAAAAAAAGTCACAGAAGCCCCATCAGGTATCCTAATACTAAAAGAAAAATTTTAAAAAAAATTGTGAAACCCCCCCTCCCTCTGGAAATCTGCTGGTCCTAACCTGGTTAGGTTTTAGTAAAGCACTGAAGCCCTGGCTGTTCCCCCAAATGTTTACGCCTGGAAAGTAAATGAAATCTGAGAATTATTGTAGACAGTTATAGACAGTTAAGTGAGTTTTGTCCTATTTTATGACCTTTCTTGTGAATCACTATAGTTGTTAGGTTAGTAACATGAGTGTTAAGTGAATCTGGCTTCCCCATTGACTTTGTCAGAAGGTCACAACAGGCAATCACATGACCCCAGGACACTGCAACCATCATAAATTCATGCCAGTTGCCAAGTGTTTGAATTTTGTTCACAAGACCATTGGGATGCTGCAATGGTGTGAAAAATGATCGTCACTTTTTACAGTTCCATTGTAACTTTGATGGATCATTAGATAAATGGCTATAAGTCAAGGACTACCCGTATGGTAGTTTGCCTTATGAGGCTTGTCTGAGATATGAATTTCTTCTTTGATAGTTCCTTGATTAGGAACTCTGTTGGTTGGTTGTGCTATTTCTTACTGTTATCTGGTGCTATTTCAGGAATCAATCAAGAAAGAAATAATATCATTAAACCATATGAGAAAATTCAGTGTCCATAGTATGGTTGCCCAGAGTGGCTGAAGATCTCACTCTGACTATAGACCTGCCCTGATTAGTATCTGGCAACATATCTGCAGAAAGTCATATGCTGAATTTGTTATGAATTTATAATTTTTAGTCCCAGCTTGTTGCTGCATACATGTTAGATATGTTATATAGTCATCATCTGCTGCCAAGTCATCAATAAAACAGTAGATATCAAGAATTAATATTCAAAAGGTATTTTAGTCATATGATTGGATAGTGCATTTTATTTTTCACATTCTAATGTATTAGAACAACATGGATCAAATAATGTAAATGACAATATGTGATTTTAGGAATTGGAAAAGCAGCTCAGAATTTGCAGTAATCATTTTTTCTGGTTTTAATTACGGTAGCTTTCTATTTTTCTAGGCTGGGTCATACTGTAGGTGTAGTTTCTTCTACTTTGAGGTAAAATATATATTTCTTTGAACTACCATTTGTCTCTTACTAAGGCCATGTAGGATGTTTCTTTCATTCTGAAATCTATGAGTATCTAGAACAAGGGTGTCAAACTGGCAGCCCGCAGGCCGGATGCATCACGTGCTGGCCCGCCCATCCCAGCTCCACGAATGGGAAAAATGTCACATGAAGGCAACGTGACATGGCGAGTTTGACACCTGTGATCTAGAATGATACTATAGGATGACATAATACAGATTATATAATTTTATTGTTTATACCGTTATTTGAGCATCATCTTGAGTACATCATATTTCATTCAATTTTATGAAGATTTACAGTATGTTTCAGATATGCTCTGCACCACAGCAATATAGTAAATATTTATATAACTAACCAAAATCAAAATTGCAAGCAACAAGAAGTAAAACTGAAACAAAAAAAGATTTATAATAAATCTATATACAAGAGAATTCAAGACAAAAAAAGATTTATAATAAATCTATATACAAGAGAATTCAAGACTTGAACACGTTCAGTCTTGACTATATCATACGTAACACATTTTCCAGCACATTGATAAGTCCTGCATATGTGGAAAACATGAATATGTCTTTAATCTACTATTTTAAATTATCTTTCTGTTGGAGCAAATCAATTTTCTTGAATCAATGAATTTCATGGGTAGAGTTGCCTTCAGGATAGATTATTTGAACAATTCCAGGGGATCTGGAAAGATCTTTATCTGGTACTGTACTTTCATTTTTGTTCCATGTTGATTCCATTAAACAATACCATGTTTCCCCAAAAATAAGAAAAAAGAGAGAGCCGGAACAGGGAGGGACCTCAGCTGTCAGCACCCTTGCCGATTAACCTTTCAATTAGCTCCTCTTATCAAGTCCCATCTCGGAGCTCCGGTCCTGGCAGGTTGAAGCCGTTTTTAGCATCTGACCCACACACACACACAAAGGTTTGCTGAGGACGAGGTTGGGTTGGGGACACGGGCAGAAGGGAAAGGCGACCCCACCTCTCCCCTGGCAACCCCAGGGCCGGCCGAGAAACCCCCTCCCCGCTCTTATTCCTCCACCGCAGGGCTTTTGGCATCCACAGGGCCTGATCACCACCTACCCACAGGGGGCTCCTTTCCGCACGGGGAAGTGGCAGGACATCTCCGTGCCCTCCCATTGTGTGGAGCCGGGTGGGCGGGCGGGGAAGCAAGGCAGGAACCTTCCAGTCGGGGCAGGGAGGGAATCCGCTCGTTGGGACTGTGGGCTCTCCTTTTCCCCCCTGGCCGGCCAGGCTCCTCTCCGGCCTCACCTCCTCACGCCGTGTTGTTTGCGTTGTAGCTGCGCATGCATCTAAATATTTGGGGGGGGGCTTATATTTGGCGGGGGGGCTTATTTTAGCACATGCGCTTAAAAGCCCAATTGGGCTTATTATCGAGACAGGTCCTAGTTTCGGGGAAACACGGTACATTTATTATTTTTACCAGAAATCCAATAAATATAGATTTGCCTTGCAACATTAATTGCAAAGTCTATAATTTTATTTTATGGCTTCATAGATCTATTATTTTTATGGCATGGTATGTTATTTATGGTAAAATTTATAGTTTCAGTTGGATCCTACATAAAGTATGAAGCTGGTTGAAAGAACCCTATCTCAGATCCAAGATTCTGCTTGATACTTTATGTTTCAGCTTTAGAGGAAGATATGAAAGATACAAACTTAGGCCCAATTTTATATGCAAATTACACCAGTTCTAATTACTATAATGTAGTCTGTGAACATAGATATAATTTAAATAAACATGTACCATGTTTCCCTGAAAACAAGAACCTGTCTTATATTTTTTTGAACCCTGAAATAAACGCTTGGCCTTATTGCCATGCGCTCAAAAGCCGTATTGGGCTTATTATCAGGAGATGTCTTATTATGGGGGAAACAGGGTAATAATAAGCAGAATGATTAAGATTTTTTCATCATCATGTCACCAAAAATTGCTGGATGAGAGATGTATTTCAATCCATATTCAGGGTTGTTACTTGGTGGAAATTTCACCTAGATCCAATTAAAAAAAACTAATATGAAATCAACCAGAGTTTTATTTCGATTTCATGGAGCCAACTTTTACTTTTTCCCTTGCAGACTTTATTTTCAATGGATATCATCTCCAAGTCTACACCTTAAAACGTGCATCTCAGTAGTTTTGTGCCTGCTTAGTAGAAAGAAAAGGCTCCACCATTTCCTTGCACTCTTTACCTGAAAGTAAGTCTCACTGACTTTGTGGTAAGTAGGGATTCCTTGCCAAGTAAATACTTTAACCACTAATATGAACTAGAGTGAAACTGAATAGAAGTCATTCCTCAATGACTACCGTCCCAATTCCATCCACATTCGTTTAATTTGGTTTTTTTTTTGTTTTTTTTGAAGAATGAGACCTTACAAGACCGCCTTCTGCCTCCGATAGCCTCCCACCGACCAGTACGCTCCCAGAGAGGGTCTCCTCAGGGTTACAGTGTTGACTGGCGACCCCCAGGGGGAGAGCCTTCTCTGTGGGGGCACCTACCCTCTGGAACCAGCTGCCCCCAGAGATTCGTCAGATTCCCAACCTTCATACCTTTCCCCGCACCCTTAAAACACTATTATTCCATCAAGCAGGGCTGGCCTAAAATATGATTTTTAATGGGTTATTTTATGTTATTTTAGATTACGGGCCAAACTATTTAATAATTTTAAATTGTTTTTTAACTTTTATATTGTTGGTTTTTTATCTTGGCCGTACACCGCCCTGAGTCCTTCGGGAGACGGGCGGTATATAAATTTAATAAAACTAAACTAAACCAAACTGAAGGCGCTAAAACCTTAAGAGACCCTGAGGACGGGTACCGTCAGAACTGGCATAATTATATCATTTTATACATCCTCAAACCACCTCGTGGAGAAAGTATATGGAGGGGGGAGCGCGGAAGGAAAGCAGGGTGGCGGGTGGAATCGTTCCCCTGCTTGAGAATCGGCCACCGACCCTTCAGAGCAACCTTTCCCCCCCCCCCCACCACCCAACATCCTTCTCCCATTTCTTTTGTTTGTCCAGCTCCACGGCGACCAGGTCGGGCGAAAGGAGGAGGCGGTCCTTCCTCGTCGGTTTATTCACTTCGCCGAGCTCCGCGCTCCGCCTCGCCGAGGCCTCTGACCCGGATGCGCTTTGCTTTGCCTCGGCCTTCCTATGCGGGACGGCGGCGGCGGCAGCGAGGGCGCTGCTACCGGTGGTAAACTACGGTGGCAGCAGCCCGAAGATGGCTGAGTCCCCGGAGGAGGTGGCCGTGCTGGTGCAGCGGGTGGTGAAGGACATCAACAGCGCCTTCAAGCGCAACCCGCACATGTGAGTGAACGGAGAGAGAGGGAGGGAGCGCGCAGGCGGGCGCTCGGCGAAGGAACGCGGGACGGCGCCGTCTCGCCCCGCGGCTCCCTTTCGCTTCGCCTTGAGGAGTGGGAGGAGGAGGTGGCTGCAGCCCCCCTCCCCTTGCCTCTCTCTCCTCGACGGGGTGGGCTTCCGGGGCTCGGCTGGGTTGTCTGGGAGTGTAACAAGGAGGCGAGGCCGGGTTAAAGAAACAAAACAAAACAAAGCACACTCCCCCTCCCTTGATTCCCTCTCTTTCCGAGAGGCTGCGAGTTGAGGGAGCCGACTTGGAACTTCTACCGCAGGACGAGAGAGTCACTTCAAAGTAAAGGCTGGAAGTGGAGGACAAGCTTTGAAGTTCCCGGGGATCGATCCTATCCGTTTACGGGATGGAACTCGTGGCCTTTGCATTTGTTTAGAGGCGAGGGAGTGTATTATATAACCCGGGCTTCAGCAGAACGGCGGGGGTGGGTGGGGGGGGATGGACGTCGGGTCTGCCGGAGAGGAAAAGTTGAACGTGGGGAGCCGGTGGATTTGTTACTTGTCTAACTTTGAAAGTTTGCGTGTCCACGCAGTGGTTTAGGGAAGATAATGTTGCTTTTTTGATTTTCAGAGTGAATGGTAAAGCTTCCCGTCCCAAGCTCTTCATCTTGAACTCCTCCCAAGTTCTCAGCTAAATTCCAAAGAATCATCTTGTTTCTTAGGGTGTCTCCAGGGATGCTCCATAGGTTAACCACAGCATCTATTTTTAACATCGCTGTGTCGATCTAGTTTTGCGATAGTCCCTTCTAAATAGGATTTGATGTTCACTCAGTGCTTTCAGGCCATTTCTCTGTCCCAGAATCAAAGAAATTGAGAGATTAGGTTGAAAGCGAAGAGAAGGAAGCTGCATAAAGACTAGTTCAGAATTTTCCCCAGGAGTGGGATGTTCCAAAATACTCCAGGATTGTGGCTGGTGCGGGTGCATGCATTTCTGAGAACATGCCTTCCAGAACAAGATGCAATATGTGTCCATAACAATAAGAACATCATCCTGTTAAGTGGTGAAATCCAATTTTTTTTTTACTACCAGTTCTGTGGGCTGACTTGGTGGGTGTGGTGTGGCTTGGTGGGCGTGGCAGGGGAAGGACACTGCAAAACCTCCATTCCCACCCCACTCCTGGGGGAAGGATATTGCAAAATCTCCATTCCCATCCTACTCTGGGGCCAGCCAGAGGAGGTATTTACCGGTTCTCTGAACTACTCAAAATTCCCGCTACCGGTTCTCCAGAACCTGCTAGATTTCACTCCTGATCCTATTTTAGAATACAGTGTACATGTTTGGAAATGCACCTATTACCACTCAGATTGACCTATTCCAGGTGAAAAATCATTCAGGTAACAAAGAGCTCTATTTTGGATATGCTTAAAATAATAATATATCAGTGTTTCCCAAAGTGTGGTACGTGTACCCCCAGGGGTATGGGAAGAGTTTGGTGGGGGTACGCGTTGCACCGGAGTTTGGTGGGGATCACGTGGGAATATCCACTGCACCGTGCTTAGCTGCGCCCACAGAACAAGGAAAGAAATAGGCACGTATCACAGTTTTTACACGGGAACTGGGGCCATCGTACATCGTATCGCAACTCATTATGGCGGGAACTTCTGCGCATCCTTCGCGCAGCTCAGGTTCGGACATTTTTAAACTGCAGGAACATTAACAGTTGACGAGCCGCGGAGCTGTTTAAACACTGGAGAATTGCAGTGTTTTTTATGTTATTTTATGTTTTTTATGAGAGGTACTCAGCGTTACGAAAATTATAGAAGGGGTACACATATGTCAAAAGTTTGGGAAACACTGTAATATATCATCACAGGTCAAAACTTTAAAGGTTATATTCCTTCCCCCCCCTTTTTTTTTTTTTTGCCATTTTTGAGGTCTTGAATCCTGTCAACTGCCTGGAGAAGAAATTTTCTTGGCAATATTTTTTGGAAGTAGTTTGCCTGTTTCCTAGGACTCAAAATTCCCCAGCCAACCTTGGCATTTGCCTCAATTACGTGTTTCTTTGCCCTTTTATCTTCCTTAATGTTGCCAAATGTAGTAGATATTCTAGTCTTTTATCTTCTTTCAGATATGCCCAAAGTATGTGACTTTCTGTTTTCTGATCATCTATTTGTGGGAGTAGTCAGTCCTTATTTGGGCTGGGATCATTTTATCAATTCTTGTTACAATCCGTAGCACTTGTAGTGATATTTGTCTAGAGCATGATTCAGAGTAGTATATTTTTTTCTGGTTCTTTATCTTCAGTTTTCACAGCTAACACTAGACAAGCTGCTACTATATTCCAAAATTTGTTTTCATGAGAATATCCTTTATGCATTTGTCTAAATTTACCATTGCCGCCTTCTCCAGGTTTACTTTCTTTTCCAGGACACTATTCAATTTTATCTCTTCTGGGATGAAGAAAACAAAACCATCTATATTGTCTTCACTTCTTCACTGTCAACTGTGAGTTCACTGAGCATGATAGTTGACATTACCTTTGGCTTTTTAATATTAACACAGGTTTTTCAATTTCCATTTTTGTTTCACAATGTGCTACTCTGAGCTCTTTCACATAACTCTTTACATTCAGCTAATATTGCCTGAATATTTCATATTTCTCCACATTTCGTTTTTACTTCTGAAAAGTAAGGTTTTCTGTCATTTTCATTAGTCTTATCGCATTCATTTTCTAGCAAAATCTGGACAGTTAAAGGCTTTACTCCAGTCAGTGAAACCAAGGTGAACCTCCTGAAATTATTTTATCCTCTCCATTAACCCTGGTTTGTGTATTAGAGCTTATAATGCTACTTCAGTTAGAAAGTATCTGTGCATTTATATGCTTGTTTACAATAAGAAAGTTAAATAATGTCAGTCTCTTATTTTCCTCTGCCTTTTCTGAAACTTTTCTGTTCATCTGGCACTTGTCTGCATGCGTAGCAATTGTATATTCTTTTTAAAAAGTTCTTAACCAATCTTTCTTTGCATGAGTTGATCCCTGAACATAGTCTCTTTTTACAAATGTTTCTATCGCTCTGCAGTGCGATTTGTACAGGATTTTGGTATAGTATTCCCATTTTCTTTTAAACTTGTTTGACTCTATTAGATCTCTCCCATGTTTACTGTTGAGTGCCCTACTTTAACTGTCCATTGCCAGTGGTTTTTCTGATCTTTTTTTTCCACTTTTTGCTGTAATTGATTTATTCCCTTCCTGCTTGATTCTGAAAGTCTGTCTTCAGTCATTACTTAGATAGCCTTACTACCCAAAACTTTCATTTTCCATCTGGTCATTTTTACAATTTGGGAGTGCTTCATTTTTCAGTGTCTCATACCTTTCATGTAGATCTTCAGGTTCTCTTTCATACAGGAAATATATTGAGTATATTCCTCACATTGATCTTACATTCTGACTGCCCACTATGGTAGCTTCAACCATATCAATACAGTTTTATATGGGATAATAAAGAACTGGTTTGTTATTGCTTCCTTCTTTTGGATTGAGGTTGCTCTATAAACAGTAATTAAGTAAATGTATTTAAATAAGTTATATCCAGTAGCGTTCCTAATCAGAAAGAAAAATGTTTCCAGTATATGAAGCATTGGACAATATTTATCTTTTTCTCTTCAGGCACTGCTGTACGTGTTTGTTAATTGCTTTTACAATTACTTGGGTTAAGAAAGCTAAATAAGCATCATTGTGTGGGAAAAGCTAAATCAACTTTATTGTGTGGAATACATATGCGTGTATTGAACTTTTTAAGCATCCATACATCCCTTCATAGTATTCCCAATCAGAATATGTTATGCAAAGAAGAGAAACAGAGCAAGAAAGGACATACCAAAGCAATTAAAAAGGCATGAAATAAGAAGAAAAGAAATATAACTTCTCCATACTTTCTATCTTGGCAAATCTTCCTTGCTTCTGGCATGTTTGTACATCGCCTTTTGTACTTTAAAGAACAACTCAGGCTTTTTTCCATCTGATTCACTTAATCTTGTTAATCTTTCCCTTCGTCTTATCATATTCAGTCTTCCTTAATACATCAATTCCTTATTTATCTGCTCTATATGACCAAACTACTGTACCTCAATATATTTCTTTCCATACTGGTTATTCAGTATTGTATTCAGTTCATATTCATTCAGCATCCATTCATTTTTACCACTCTCTTGAGTAATGTACTCCTTCTGTAGTCAGTTGTCTTTTGTTTTTCTTCTGATGTAGGTGATCCTTTTCCTTGTTTATAAACTTTCTTATAGGTGGAAGCATATAATTGTTTTCACTTGTTTCAATATGCATTCTTTAGTTTAAACTTTCTACAAAATTTCCTCCCTGTATAAGCAAACAACAACCATCTTTCATCATTTTCATCATGTTTATTTGCAGCCTTACCGTTGTTCAGTGTTCTTCTATAATACTTATGAATTTTTAGCATTTCTCTTTGATGGCAGTGCCTTATTTAGCACTTCCAAAACAAAATGTTTTGCATTTTTACTGCCTCTTACCTTAACTGTTGCTTACTCTCTCTGACTATATTCTTAGTAACTATGTCTTTCTCTATTTGCATATTATACAATATCTTTCCACATGTTTTTGCAGCAATCATTCTCCATTTCATAATTCTACCAAACATTTCACATCTATAGACTATTAAAACTCTCATTTTATTTATGTGTTTTGAATCAATGTAACTAAAATCTGCTAACTTAAAAAGTAGGTAAATATACAGAAATTATTCCTGTGGACTTGTAATTTCCACTATATTCAGACCAATTTTATTTTAAAGTTGTGGCCATTGCAGCATTCCTATGATTTCTGCCAATTTCCATAAGGAAAATCATTAGGGAACCTGGCAGGAAGTCAAAAGTTGTTCCTGCTTCTACTGTTTTTTTGCTTCTTGTGGTTATTCTGTTTATTTCTTATTTCTTTAGGTAAGTAAATATTGACTTACTATTGAAATTGTTTTCCAATGTAATTGTTTTTCTATTTATGATTCATGCTCTTTGTAAATGATCATGGACCATCCAGCATTGAGGTTAAAAAATATGGTCAGCCTAAAATATAATGTTCAGTCTGGTCCCATCAAATTACACTACCTTTGTCTCAAAGGATGACCCAACCATTTACAGGATTGTCTGGTACTTTCCATTAGCACTGTCTCCTCACTTCTAGAGTATAGTGTGTGGGTTTTTTCTGTTTTTTCTTTTTCTTTGATATCCCTCTTGGTCATTTTAAAGCTTGGTTTTGTCATCAGGAATTAGAACCTGGATTTGTGGCAGAGCTAAGCAATGTGTTGATTATTTTTGATGGGTTTTCATAAATCTCAGCTGTGGATTGTGTTGGATGAATTTTTTTAACATTGTTCTTATACTTAGAGGATTTTGCATTTTGCTTTTTTTATACTTTTTTTTTTAATTGCTCTGAGCTGCTCAGAATCACATAGTTGAGAAGGGCAGCTATATATATTGAAATAATAAATAACCGTATATTCTTGTGGATAAGATGACCCTTAAATGTTTAACCAAAATATGAAAAATGGGCTGCCCTGGATAACCCAATCGTGACATTTTTGTACATTTTAATTTTCACAATTGGCTTATGCATGGGTGGCACATTTTCCATGTTGTTGTAGTTAAAAATTCTTGAGTTATTGTATCTGAAGATGGCCTTGTATAAAAGTGCATATATGGATATATGGGTACTTTTAAAAGGTGAAGGAAAAATCCAATGTATATACTCACAGCTAGGCTCATCCATGGACAAATCAAACCCAACTTTGGGTGCATACTTTACCACCTAAAACTCTCACGATACAGTATACATTAAATAAAATTTCAGATTGCCTTTTGATAATTTATCAAGTGAGTCTCAGTAAATAGTTTTCTCTTTACCATAAGGAGAATAGGAGGATAAAATGAGTTAGAAATTATATGTGCCAGGTGATTTTTGAAAGGTTAGAATAAGAATAAATTTAATTTAAAACAACTGCGCTGTGGTTATGATTTTTTTTTTAATTCCTAAGCAGAGTTTTCAAATTCTGGCATGTTTAAATTGTCATTTTTCCTTTGAAATAAATGAAGTAATCAAATAATGGCAATTAAACTACATAGAGTTTGAGAAATTTCCATGGGTAATGAACTGGATAATGGGCTTTGTCATAATACTACATAAAACACTGAAATAAGTTATGAGGACATAAATGTTATTTATTCAGTGAGAATATTTGAAAAGAGAAATGCCTATGATTTACAAAATGGGTTAGTGACTAGTTAGTGCATTCATTTCTCACCTGCCAATTTTATGCAGTTTTAGGAAAATTTTATTTGCTTTTCTAGTATAGTCATATTCTCTTTCCAAGGCATATTTAGAACACAATAAAGCTTTTTTTATTACTGTATTTACAACATTTTAGAGCTTCCATTAAATATATATACAATTACAGCTTTATGATCCTCTGAACACTTGCCATAAAACTGTCCTATAAAATCAACATATATAAGATAGTGCTATTAATTACATATGAAGAAAAATTTAAATTGGTTACTTCATTGGAAGAAAAACAAATTAGTTAGGCAGAATGAAGTGGATAGAGCCATGGGTAGTATTAGCGTTAACATTAGATCCTCCCATGCTATGTAGCACATAGAGCAGCAAGGGATCTCCAGCATTTTCGGTCTTGGTGAGTACTTCAGCATCTTTTCATATGATGTTTAGAATCTTCAAATCTTCCATGAAATTTCTTTAATGTGTATTTCAAGGGAGTTCTCTTGGTGGTCATTTGGCATCAGGGTGGGGGTCCATATCACTGCCATCTTGGAGATTTCAATTATTCTCCCTGCAGAGAATATGACCTGCAAGTTGGAGTCTTCTGCGTGCGACAATGTTATTTAGTTTTCAGGATAAACTTTTTTGGAGCACTTAATAAGTGCTCGTTAATAAGTTAGTAGGTTAGAGTCATGAGTGGGGTGGAAAAAGTTTAGTTAATGCAAAAAATGGCAACATTGATGAAAGGAAGATATAGTTAATCTAATTTTTATTATTATTTTAAGAGATGAAATTGGATTAATCCCCTGCCCTGAAGCCAGATATAATCGAAGCCCAATAGTTCTGGTTGAAAACAAACTTGGAGTGGAAAGCTGGTGTGTCAAATTTCTTTTGCCCTATGTCCATAACAAGCTTCTTCACTACAAACTAAGAAAGCAGTGGCTCAATAAAGAAGGTAAGTGACTTCATAAATTACAAAATATTGCTGTCATAAAAGCTTTCTCCAGCTCATATATGTGTACCACCCATACCTTCTGTAAAAACAACCTAATCATTCCCAGCTATCCTCAGAGGAATCTTTCTGAATTCTCAACAAATTTGCAATCGAAAGCATGATTACACGATTAATATTGCACATAGTTGAACCCTTTTTGTACGCTGAAAAGAATCAGTGGAATAATCCAGAGGCCTTTTAGCATATGATTAGCTCATCAGTACTCCAGGTCGTACCGTGTGTACATAATTGCTGGAAACAGCGCTGCAGCTGAAGAAATAACAGTAATGATCTTGTAAAGCAACTAGAATTTTAATGTTTTGAAAATTGGCAGGGTAGGAACCTAAAGCATTTGGTGTGAACCAGCTGCAGGTAATCCTTGACTTGCAACCATTTGTTTAATGACCATTCAGTGTTACAATGGCATTGAAAAAAGTGATTTACAACTGGTCTTCACACTTAGAACTATTGCAGCATCCCCATAGTCCTGTGATCAAAATTGGGGCACTTGGCGATTGATATGTACTTACGATGCTTGCTGTGTTCTAGGTCATATGCCTACCTACCCTTTCCACCACCCTCTCTGGAAAGGAGTGGAAATTGTACATAATGATTGAGTCCAGCAATAGTGTTTTGAGAGGCTGTACTACATCCTCCTTCATGGATGATGGGACCACCCCTCCCATAAAAAAGGCGATATCAGCATATACATCCCATCACAGATCACCTCCTGGGCAGCCTGAACACATGCATGTCTTCCTATTTTAAAGGGCTGTGTTTACTTGATCAGTCTTTTCAAGAGATGAACAATACATTCGTTGGAATTCCAGTTCCTTTTAGGGTTTCATGTCAAGATGGATTGGATATATTCTGTTTTTTTACTCAGCCAGAATAAAATAACAGTCCTTTGTTTTAACAGTTCTTCATTGGACCCAATTCTGAAGACCACAAGATAATACTGGTGATATGTTTCTAGGCCAGTGCATAGTGAAAGGGATCTAATCAAGCTTCTCTCCTTGAGATGAGGAAGGTTACTTGCCTAGAGAGGGGGGAGAGAGTTTGAAGCGAATGAGTGCTTGCCAAAAGAACTTCAACTGATTTATATGAACCATTCATAGCAGTAGAAGATCATTTATGTAAACAGTCACCCTTTCTCAAGGTTTTTTTTTTCTACCAAGTTGAAATATAGTATTCCCAGAGAATAGAGACAATTTGGGAATAATCACTTCTGCCACATTAGAAGCAAGGGAAGATAAAATTAGAAATTCCAACCTGCCCATTTCAAGGAGAAGAAAAAAGGCCTCTGAGTTCCCATCTCTCATTTTAATTTCTACTGTCAGTAAGAAAGTGATAATAATGATGTCTAAGGGACTACTTGCTTTTTAATACCTAATTTGTTACTGAAAACATTTGTCATCCCAGTTGGCAAGAGTGTAGAAGCCTTAGCTAATAAAGAATAAAGAAATGGCCCAAATGATAGATAGTCTCTTTCCTAAATTCCCTCTCCCCCTCCATAGAGCCACCCCCAAATTTAATGAGCAGAGCTACAGAGAAGAAGGAACATTTTTTTAATGCAAATTGAGGAAATCGAGACCTGATTTTTAGCCTTGATTTTAATAATAATAGTTTAAATAGATTTAATTTTATATTGACTTTAATCTATTTAAATAGAAATGCTAGTAAATTTTATAAATACAGACATCACTATTTTTATTGCTTTTTGCATTTTATCTCGATGTGCTGATTATATTGAAAGTGTGATATATTATCACATCTTGGAGTATTGAAAGATAACATGCTGTTACTGCTGTGATACAGTATACACAGTATATCAAATGACAGGCTTCATGGGCCAATCAAAATAAGTATTATTAATATTTTTTCAGAGAAATTGTTCCTGTACTTAGGAATGTACAAAGGTCACACATCAAATGAGTAAGGAACTGTTTAGAAGAAAATGGAAACCAATTCAAACATTTAATGTAATTAAATGTATATATTAAATTCTCTGGCAAGGGTCCCCAATCTCCAGGCCACGGCCCACTTGAGCCTTTTGGAACCGGATCACAGAAGTGGTGGGCGACTGCATGTGTGCATCCCCAGTTGCGTGAGCAGCAGGCACCGCATGCATGTGCGCTCCATTTGTGTGAGCGGCAGGCACACATACCTGCTGATTGCTCAAATGGACCTATGCGTGCTTGTCCACCAGGTGCGGGGGACCATCGCCTCCTCCCTCCTGCCATTCTGCAAAGCCAAAAAGGTTGGGGAAGTCTGTCTCTGAGGCCTGACTTTTGGTGCAATCTCATATTTAGGTTAAATGTATATTTGTTGCACCAAATAATCATTGTACAAATTGCATGCATTAATGTAATAAAAACAGAATGGATGCTGTATTTTTTCCAGTACTATAAATTGCTTTCTGACATTTATAATAATCTAAATTAAAATCATAAAGACCCCTTGCAGTTTTGCTCAAACCTTGCCTGACTGTATGAACACATCATCTAACTTTCCTTAAAAATCTAAGAGTAACCCATAAATAGACCTGTGAAAATTATGCTTAGAAATCTGACTGACTGATTCTTGTGAAGATGAAATGAAATAGAAATATTTTACTGAAGAATTGTCTGTAGAAGTTTGTTTTATGTAAATTTCCTTTTGCTGCATACCTTCTGATAAGAAACATTTCTTTGAAATCATCTGCTACAATATCATTTCACAACTATAGGTTGTTTTCATACTGGTTCTCACACAATTTCAAATTGTAATGAAGCCATAGTTATATTTGAAATTACTCAGAAGGTCATTTTTACGTTTTTTAAACTCAAACAGGGCAGTATTAAAGTGCCACCTGCAGAATAGTATATATTTCCATTATAAAGTAACCCCTTTCTTTTTTAACACAATTTTCTCTTCTTTTTGCCATTGCATTCCATAATATGCCCTATATTTTTCCATAGCATGTAATCTCTAAACTGCATTGTGTTTGTTTTCTTTTGTCATTTTCTATACCGCCAGCATCCTTTTCTTGTCTGTTCTGTACATCTTGCTGTCTTACTGTTTCCAAAAGTCTCCATGCAGTGCCATATTTCTTTTTCTTCTTCTTTGTTCATTTCTTTCTTCTTTTCTTTCTTTCTTTCTTTCTTTCTTTCTTTCTTTCTTTCTTTCTTTGTCTTTTAGTTGGTGTAGTTTTCATAGTGCACTTGCATCTCAAAGATATTGAGTTCTATAATACAAGAAAAGCTGTTAACATGGTGGGGAAGCTTTTAAATTTCAACTGAACAAGAATAATATTTTCCCTCTTTCCTTTTAATGTGATTTTTGATGGATTTCAGCTCTATTTTATGTGAAATTGATTCATTAAGTGCATCATTTATTGTATTGCTAACACAGTGTCTGATGTTTCTGCTTACAATCAGAACGTAGAATCTTTAATCTCCCAAATATTGCTAACTCTTAACTCCCAATATCATTAGCCATTTCAGATGTTTTGATACACAGTGTTTGGTACATAATTTTGGATAAATGTTCCACATCTCACACAACGTCAAAGGGTTTGAAGGAAGGGATAAGAATCTCATCAACATTACACAAACACAAATAACAGAGCAAGTATCACACATAAAGTCTAATGCTAAAAAAATGCTTTAAAAATAGCATTAGACTTTGTGTGATACACCATAAGTGTATATATGCATTTTAATAAAATATTTAATCTTCTTTATCTCTGTTTAGAGCTGATAGATATCACATGTACCTTGTTGTTGCTGAACCCAGATTTCACCACTGCATGGAATGTAAGGTAAGATTAGTAAATCAGATATAAAGACTTCTGCTGATAGCCTCATGTTTTAGACTATGATTTCATGGACTCCTTTCTTCTCTAAGTTCACACAAGGCTATTTACGAGTAACCATATATATTATATATTACATAGAATCTTATTTCATGTATAATGATTTTTAAATCAGTATATCTGTTCAACTGGGTGTAATAAAATGTGAATTTATATATGAATAGTTGTACAATATTGTATTTTATTTATCAGCATTTTTAAAGTGCCTTTTGAATATAAAACTCTCAATGCAATATGCAAAGCAAATTGTCAGCCCTGCTAGATAGGCCAGACTGGGAAATCAACTTCACTGGAAGGCTAAAAAATACTTTCATAGAGATTAGCTATAACAATAAAATCTTGCAAGTCTGTTTATTCTTACCTTGTAGTCATCCTCCTTAACTTTTGGTGAATTTGAGACACATCTGCCTGCTTACTTCCAAATGCTGCCTCCTTGTTCTCATGCATACACAAATTTATAAACACTCGTCTTTTTTAGAAACTATTATATAAAACTGATGATGTTCAATTGTATATTGACATCCCAGGTCAAACTATGATAGCTTGATATGATACAGATTGATATAGATTGGAAAATATAAACCTAGGGCTAAAAGTCTCAATAAGTAGAAACAAGTTCAGACTTAATCCTAGCAAATTGAGTTATTGTTTCTTCAAAAATATTTTGGTTCTGAGATGATCCTTGCATTTGGATTGCAATCCCTTTGCAAGAGCAGGTTCTGTTGGATCCATGTCTCCTACAACAGCATGTTGGGAAGCCTTGGACCTGCTAAGGCTAATGTGCCAGTTGTTGCCCTTTTTGAACCAGGATGCCCTGGGGTGAATTATTTTTGTCTTTATGACCCACAAGATTAGATTATCATTAGCATGCTCTACATGAAGCTGTTCAAAATGACTTTGGAAACTATAGATAGTACAAAAGGTAGCAGACAAGTACTGGTAGCTACCCTGAAATGTTTTATATCTCCAGTATAAATAAAAACCTAACCTCTAGCCTTTCAAATATATTTTTGGGGAGTCCAGTACACCCTAAATATAACTTTTTCATGAATCAATCTTGGTCTCAAATCTGTAGACACCATTTTAACATTTTTAAGAACATGAAGCCATTAATGGGACTTACAGTCAGGTCCAGAAATATTGGGACATCGACACAATTCTAACATCTTTGGCTCTATACACCACCACAATGGAGTTGGAATGAAACAAACACAATGTGCGTTAACTGCAGACTGTCAGCTTTAATTTGAGGGTATGTACATCCAACTCAGGTGAACGGTGTAGGACTTACAGCAGTTTGTATATGTGCCTCCCACTTGTTAAGGGACCAAAAGTAATGGGACAATTGGCTTCTCAGCTGTTCCATGGCCAGGTGTGTGATATTCCCTCATTACCCCAATTACAATGTGCAGATAAAGCCCAGAGTTCATTTCAAGTGTGCTATTTGCATTTGGAATCTGTTGCTGTCAACTCTCAAGATGAGATCCAAAGAGCTGTCGCTATCAGTGAAGCAAGCCATCATTAGGCTGAAGAAACAAAACAAACCCATCAGAGAGATATCAAGAACATTAGGTGTGTCCAAAACAACTGTTTGAAACATTCTCAAAAAGAAGGAATGCACCGGTGAGCTCAGCAACACCAAAAGATCCGGGAGACTACGGAAAACAAGTGTGGTGGATGACCGAAGAATTCTTTCCCTGGTGAAGAAAACACCCTTCACAACAGTTGGCCAGATCAAGAACACTCTCCAGGAGGTAGGTGTATGTGTGTCGAAGTCAACAATCAAGAGAAGACTTCACCAGAGTGAATACAGAAGGTTCACCACAAGATGTAAACTATTGGTGAGCCTCAAAAACAGGAAGGCCAGATTAGAGTTTGCCAAACAACATCTAACAAAGCCTTCACAATTCTGGAACAAGATCCTATGGACAGATGAGACCAAGATCAACTTGTACCAAAGTAATGGGAAGAGAAGAGTATGGAGAAGGAAAGTAATTGCTCATGATCCTAAGCATACCACCTCATCAGTGAAGCATGGTGGTGGGAGTGTCATGGCGTGGGCATGTATGGCTGCAATGGAACTGGTTCTCTTGTATTTATTGATGATGTGACTGCTGACAAAAGCAGCAGGATGAATTCTGAAGTGTTTCGGGCAATATTATCTGCTCACATTCAGCCAAATGCTGCAGAACTCATTGGACGGCGCTTCACAGTGCAGATGGACAATGACCCAAAGCATACTGCAAAAGCAACCAAAGAGTTTTTGAACGGACAGAAGTGGAATGTTATGCAATGGCCAAGTCAATCACCTGACTTGAATCCCATTGAGCATGCATTTCACTTGCTGAAGACAAAACTGAAGGGAAAATGCCCCAAGAACAAGCAGGAACTGAAGACAGTTGCAGTAGAGGCCTGGCAGAGCATCACCAGGGATGAAAACCAGCATCTGGTGATGTCTATGCATTCCAGACTTCAGGCTGTGATTGACTGCAAAGGATTTGCAACCAAGTATTAAGAAGGGAAAGTTTGATTTATGATTATTATTCTGTCCCATTACTTTTGGTCCCTTAACAAGTGGGATGCACATATGCAAACTGCTGTAAGTCCTACACCGTTCACCTGAGTTGGATGTACATACCCTCAAATTAAAGCTGACAGTCTGCAGTTAACGCACATTGTGTTTGTTTCATTCCAAATCCATTGTGATGGTGTATAGAGCCAAAGATGTTAGAATTGTGTCGATGTCCCAATATTTCTGGACCTGACTGTATAAGAAATTCCAGTTCTTTAGGCCATATTTTGAAATATCCCAGAATTGTCCACTTTTAAATTACTTGAGCTTTTGGTAGAGATATATTAAAGGTTGGGAAGGGATGCTGAATAATCGGCCCAGTGAAAGAGGAACACGGACATGAAGGCAGAACACGATAATTAAATGAATGAAAAGATTGAATCTGAATCCCGCAACATTGGCTTCTGCTACTTGTAATAAAATAACTCAACTATGGATTAAATACATGCTTTCTTGGCAAGTCTTCAGGTTTGATCTGTAATCACTACTTTAAATTCTGATCACCACTGTGAAGACAGATCCTGCATTTTCCGTTCACCTTCCAAGAGGTTATTAAGATTCATTTCTTGCTGTATTATATTTTGTTTTCATATGCTAATTAAGACTAATAGAAGAGTAAAATTTTACTGTTTTCTACTGTTTTAAGGGGTAATCATTTTTACTGAGAAATGGGAAATAATCAAAGCTGATGATATTATAAAGAATTAAAGAATGATATTATAAATCATTCTGTTTCATGTTCTACTGAAGTAGATTGATGAAATATATTGTAAAAATGTCATTTTTACGTCTTAGTTTAATTTTAGTTTTTAATTTGGGGGTGTCAGTTTTTAAATAATTTGTAAATAGTGATTAATCTTATTTATATAAGCCTGAATTATTTATTCAACTGGCTGAAAAATTGCATAAAGACACATCAGAAATTGAACTCTTATGTTGTGAATGCACTTAGGAGGGTATATGCCAGTTGTCAGGCGTATATGCACCCTCTTGCTAATGTATTGCATGAATGCTATGTAGCCAGATTCATTTATTTCTACATTTTAATACATAGAAGAGTATAGAAAATAGTGATACCTGAAGCAGCTCTAATTAGGAGATCAGTGGTTAGTGAAAACGAGAGAGCACTGAGAGATCAATGGAAGATGTTTCCATTAATTTAATTTATTCCATTTGCTTATATCTAGAATCGATGTTGTCTTGCTATTCAGTAGGTTTCACCATACCTGTCTTCATCTCCTCTTGTATTGTTACTTCTTAGATTTTTTAATGAATTGTAATGCTGCTCAATAAAATGCCATCTGGATACTAGAGGACTGTAGGAAAAGATTGGTTGTCTATGCTGTGTGTGTATTATCTTTGAGAGGATTGTGTTACCTACTTGGATTTGGCATCGTGTTTGGGGTCATTTTCAGCCCATGTGGGGACATGGGATCACCTTTTGTGACCTTCCGACGAGCAAAGTCAACGGAGAAGCCAGATTCACTTAACGGTGATCATGTTACTACCCTGTTTCCCCATAAATAAGACATCCCCTGATAATAAGCCCAATTGGGCTTTTGAGAGCATGCGCTAAAATAACCCACCCACCCCGAAAATAAGCCCTTCCTGAAAATATTTAAACGCAGAGCTGGAAATCAGGTAAGACAGCAAGAGGAGCCCCATCTTGCTCCACACGCCCCAAAATAATAAGACCTCCCCGAAAATAAGGCCAAGCACTTATTTTGGGGTTCAAAAAAATATAAGACAGGGTCTTATTTTTGGGGAAATGTGGTAACTTAACAGCTGAAGTAATTCACTTAACAACTGTGGCAAGAAAGGTCATAAAATGCTGCAAAACTCACTAAACTATCTCACTTTAACAACAGAAATTGTGGTCATAAGTTGAGGACAGCCTAGATATTGTTATGAAGCACTTCTTGCATAATAATCACAGTTTTCATTTTGACATCTGTGTGTTTGTATTCAATATTTAGAAATACATAATTTAGTATTTAGAAACACACAATTTACCATATTCTTATATGAAGGAGACTCCTTTCTGGGTCAATATCTGCTGAGTCCAGGGTGTTGAAACAGTGATCCTGGCTGATGCTTGGCAGCACAGGATACGTCCTCCTGGTCATCTTCTTCATCTGATAATGACTCTTCAGGCCAGAGGGCGCATGGTTGTGAAGTTGTAATATTATAAATCTGATGCTTTTCACTAATGTTTAAATAGGTGCGCGGTGGGTATCATGTAGCATTACTTTTATTAGGAAGCAAGTGCTCAGTAAATTATATTTAGTAGCTATGTCTTTGGTTTTTGTTTCAGAAAAGAATTGATATTGTCTGGCACTTTAAACCCCATTAAAGACTTACATCTTGGGAAATTGGCACTAACCAAGTTTCCAAAAAGTCCAGAAACATGGATTCATAGGTTTGTGGTTTTATTTCTTTATACTGAAATACACATTTATGTTATCTCTGTGAGATCAGTGGCAGATGTCATCTGAGAAAAAAGGGAAGCATTAGACAGATCTTTGCTTTGCTGTAGAGTATTTGCATATGTGTTTGTGTGTGTGCATGTGCATGCAAACACATATACATATCTCTGAATTGTTTGCAGCTACCCAATAAATTAATCTTGTAATCATAGCTATTATCAAAAACAGATTCTGAGTAGGAAAAAAGTCAATTAAAGCAGGAACATATAAGGAAGTACCAGTAAGTTTACATCTATTTTATATCTGTCTGTTTAATATTGTGAAAAAAGGATGAAAAATATACCTTGGGTTAGAAATTCAGATTTGTTTTACTTCTGTTGTATACAAGAATTGTTAACCTGCATGCAGCTCCTTTGTTAATCCTTTTAAATGATCAGTAAAATAAATCAGGAAGCCATAACTAACCATCATAGCTGAACCAGGAACAACCCACATTTGGTATATACAGTTTTAAATATTTGCTCTGCATATAAAATAAATTTGAAACAAAGGAAGTGGTTTGTTCAAATCATGACATCCTAAACTTGGGATTGAATATGTGTATGGTCAGTATTCAGGACTTATTTGAGTGCCAGTTTTTAAAGCACTTATTGCCATAAAACAGGAGTTTATTGGTTGGAACTATTAACAAAAGAATTTTATTATCTTAGATAATATTTTATAGTATAATTGAACTTCTTTTCAAATATTTATTTTTGTTATTTATTGAGAAAATTCATATGGCCGCCTCACTAACTTGCAGTGATTCCGGGAGGAATATAAATATCCTTATGTGCTGTATTAAGAACTAATTTAATGACATAATGAATAAAAATGTTTTCATTAAATTGGCTTTTGCATTTTTAATTCTGCACAACCAGACGATGGGTTCTGCAATATTTAATCCAGGAAAACTCCTTGCCCACTCTTGTGACTAAAGGGAACTTAGAAGCATTACCCACAGAAAAAATACAGCGGCTGGTGAAAGAAGAAATGGATGTTTGTTGTGATGCTGCTGGACGATATCCAAGTAATTATAATGCCTGGTCCCATCGTATCTGGGTGTTACAGAATTTGGCAAAGCTTAATACAAAGGTATGGATGCAATAGAAGTTGTATATACATTTGTTAGCACATTTCTTGAAAATGTTTGCACTGAATTCAGTTAAGTATGACTCATGAGTATTTGGGGCAGCCAGAAAATAATAAAAAGAATTGAGCTAATTCATGCAAAAAAATAGATTAAAGCTGAAGTCACCTAGAGTTCTGACCTCCTTTGACAGAAAACAGTAGAAAAGCAAAATAGGATAAAAATGAAGGCTTCTGTCAAAATAAATATGAGATGGCAGGGCTTCGCCATTCTTGTTTGAGCTTGGAAGTTAAGCAAGCCTGGTTAGTCCTAGAATTCGTTGTTCTCAACTTTTCTTCATCATGGACCCCCTTTAAATACTTTTTGTGGCCACAGATCATGGGCACAGCCCCCCAAGACCTAATTTAAGATTTAAATCATAACATTTCTTCAAGCCTTTGTGGACCCCCTGTGATCACATCACAGTCCACCAAGGGTCCACAGACCACAGGTTCAGAACCGCTACGTTAGAGAATTCCAAGGCTTTAAGATAAACTGAGAAGATGACAAACATTCTGGAAGAAATTACTTTTGTAATGTTGCCTCCTCTATGTCACAAAATGATATAGATATGTCAATGAAGTAACTAGGGGTCAAGCTCGACACAAAGGCATCTTTACCATTACCATATTTTGTTCAGCAGATATTTAAATGCCATTTATTTTCATTTCTACACTCTATGATCTTAAATTTAAATATGAGAGCCAATTTGATGAAGTGGTTAAATCACCAGGTTAGAAACCAAAAGACCATGAGTTCTAGTCCCACCTTAAGGCACAAAGCCAGCTGGGTGACCTTGGACAGCCATGCTGTCTCAAACCACTTCCAAAAATCTTGCCAAGAAAATCTCAGGGACTAGTCCCATGTTGGTGAACCTATGGCACGTGTGCCAGTGGCACGCCATGTCGCCCAGCATGCGTGGCATCGCCCATTCCTTTTCCAGGTTTCCAGGGCACGCATGCGCACCAGCCAGCTAGTCTGCTGGTTACTTGTGTGCATGCGCGTGCAATGATCAGCTGGCCTTAATGTCTTAGCGCGCATGCGCACCAGCCATGCTCTCGTTGCCTGCATGCAGTCCCAGTCCCAGGGCTCCACCCTTTGTCAGCCAGGAGCGCTGCCGCCAGTCGCTCCCCTGCGCCCGGCTGCCTGCCTGCCTCGTCACTGCCACCATGAGGAAAGACTCTGAAGTTGCGCTGCCTGGGATCTATGTGGGCTGCCACAGGGGGAGGCCAGGTATGGCTGGCTGGACGCTGCCCGGAGGTGAGCTTGAGGCTGGCAGGAGGAGGAACCGTTGCTGCCTCTTAGCCAGCGCGAACTGCATGCTGCCGCAGCCTGCCACCATCCCCTCTCTCCTGCCAGCTGCTCCTGCCACTGCCAGGGAAGCGGCTGTGTGAGAACCGCTGCTGCCGGGGACGAGGAGGCAGTGGTGGCAAGGATGGGCGGTCCGGGGCTTCCTTGTCTCCCCGCCCGAGCAGACTTTGGCATAGCCCCAGGCCTCCGGAGGGAGGGAGGGAAGGCCCAGCCTGCTGCTCCTGCCGCCGCCACCCCCTTGCCCCAGCAAGAGCGGTTCTCATGCTGCTGCTTCTCTGGCAGCACGAGGAGCAACTGCCGGGGCAGAGAAGGCGGGGGCAGGCTGTGGTGGCAGGCCGTTCTCGCTGGATAAGAGACAGGCTGCTCCTGGAGCAACCAGGAGAAGGAGAAGCCGCCAGCGGGGAGGCGAGTTGCCCCAGGAGGACTGGAGGAGAGCGCAGCCACTCACTCATGGAGATCCACCGACGAGGAAGTGGTTGCGGAAAGCGGTAAGAGGTGCGTGAGCCAGGAAGCGGTCATGCTCCCTGGCCGGAGAGGTTTGCACATTCACACCAGCAAAGGTTTGTGCAACCCTCTCCGGCCAGGGAGCATGACTGCTTCCTGGCTGGTGCACCTCTTACCGCGACCACTTCCACACCGGTAGATAGCTCTGTGGGAGGGAAGCGTATGTCAAAACAATGCATCATAAAAATACAAATTATATATATCGGTATAATTTCAAAGAGATCATGCACTTTAGAAACTTGAAATTTATGGATGCCTTTCATATTATCTAAGCTTATCCTGGTTTAATGGATTAGCATGACATTAAACAACTGGAATGTTGCTCACAAATTTTCAAAATATGTTATTGACAAAAACAGAAATGCCTATTACAAAACAGCTGATTCCATCTTTTTGAGAGTTACCCAGTGAATTCTGTGAACCAGTTGGAATCCATCTTAAAATTTAAAAGTAAAATATTCTTACTGTATTTAATATGGTTGGTCGCATAGTCAGCCAAATGTTTAGACTGGATTTGGCGTTTTTGTTCACCTACGGAGTCCTTTCCAAGGATCTGGGATGGGTAGATGTTGCACTTCATGCAATAACTAAAATGTAATTGAGCCATAACAGGTGGGATACAATGGGAGCCCTAGATGGGGTAGGTAGATAGTTCTAGATCAACTAAAGTACAGTAGAGATGTATATGGCAGTAGTGCTGGTTAAGGATTAAGTGCATGTATGTGCAATTTCTAGGGATCATTGCCAGTTATGATGAAGAAACATGTCAGTGGTGGGGAAATGACATGTTTTTTCTATGCCAGGAGAAATTGATATACCAGCACTGGTTAGGAAGAAGGAAGTAAGAAGCAACCCGCATCAATTGGTGCTGTTCCTTCCTCCTAGGCTAATTCAGATTTCTCATTGCTCACCTTTCCCAAATAATTAAATATGTTTGGGTAGCATCTAAGTTTTGCTTTTGTTTTTAATTCGGCTGTGTTTTGTTTTCCATGTTTGGTATATATCATAGACTCCTTGCAATAGCTCCACAGCTCTGCAGAGGTCCATAGTTTAGCGTACATTGTCATAACGGAAAATCTGAAGGTGAAAGCTGATTAGCATTTATGTTGAATGCTTCATTTTGTTATGTTTTTAATTCTCAGATTCTCCTTGATGAACTTTCTTCCACTAAACACTGGGTCTCCATACATGTTTCAGACCATAGTGGATTCCACTACCGTCAGTTTCTATTAAAATCTTTGATTGTCAGAACTGGGACTGATTGTATTATAAAGTTATGTGATCACCCAACCAATCAACAAACATCCTGTTTTCCAAAAGATGAAGCAGATGAAGGTGCAGAAGCTTTTTGCATCGAAAAACAACAGCCAGATCACTCGCTGTATCTGAAAGAGGAAATAGAGCTCTGCACTGATTTAATTAACACTTATCCAGGGCATGAAACATTGTGGTATCACAGGTAAGAATATTTAAAGACTAGAGGATTGAAAGGGACAGTTACCCCATTGAAATCTGATGCACTTTTTTCCAAGTCAGGTTTTCCTTTCTGGTCTAGTGGTAAGTTAAATTCCTCCTCTAAATCCCCAAGCCTTTAGAACAAGTTTGTTGAGGATATATGAAGAATGAGAATATGATCCGTCAGCAAGGTAAATTCTGCTGACAGATGAACAAAATTATACAAATATTATTTCATTGCTTTTTCAGGGAATTCACAGTGTTTAGCTATTGTATTCAGACATTATTTACAAAATGTAGGTTATGTTCAATCGGAGCTTAGTCCTTCAAGCTTTCTGTTATGCTCTATATTTAGACGAGGGACAGAATATATTAAAAGACATAAAAGTTTGATTTCCATATGTTTTTTTTTATGTTCTTTAAAGACGTCAAGTCTTCTACCTTCAACACCACTTAAAGAAGTGTCCAGTTCCAAACATCTGGTCATCAACTTCAAACAATAGTGATGGAACAGTTAATAATTCACATCCTCATGTTACAACTGGTCATACCACACAAGCCATGGATGTTGACGGCTTAACGGAATGCAACAAACAAGGCTACAGTCAAGAAACCAAGCGCCTGAAGCGGGCTCCTATGCAGGACTGTATCAACGTGGAAGAAGAATATAAGTTCATCGATCACGTTTTGTCTACGTGTAGGGAGGAGGATCAGGCAAGGTTTGCAAGTTCATATAGAAAATGGCTAGTTTCTTTTCTAGGCCAGTGAAGATCTTTTAAAACTCTTTATGGTCTTTGTTTAGTGCAATATCCTCTTTACAGACAGGTATACTTAGGACCCCTGGCACTTTTCACCCTTCTGTTATTCCTGCCACTGCTAAACTTCATTTACTGATGTTGGGTTTAGTTCTATTTATATTTTTAAAAGCCACTTTGTGTTAATTTTTATGGATCTTTGTAGGATAGCCCCACCTAAAAAGGAACTGTTTGGTGTTAGTATAAATTAAGTGCAAATTTTAAAGTCACTAATATAACTGGAGTAATAGGAAAACAGATAGATCTACTGGTGAACAATGATTTCATTCCTAAATACCTCGTCCATAATAAATACACCTAATCAAAGTCATTGGTCGGTGAAAACAATGGAAAATCATTCAGCATGATGATGTCAAAATGGTTTTGAGTACAAGTCTTCATCTTATAATTGCATTGCATCACTGCTCTTCTGAACTCTTTTTATTTCACATTTGAATTGCTCTGATAATCTTACAGTCCGATGACTTTTTATTATTATTATAGTGAAAGTGGGATATGCTTATGTGAAATTGGATAGTTTTGTAAAAAAAAAAAAAGTCTACTAAACTAAAACTAACTAGTTCAATATAAGAACACTGGTATTTAGGGTTTTCTCTGGCTTTTGTGAATTTGGAGGCTTTCATGAATTTAAGGTTGGAAGATATGGAAATATAAGATGGTGACCAAGGAACAAATTTCTATCTAATCTTATCTGCAATTTTCTTGGCACATGCAGATTTTTCCATTCCTAAAATATAAAAGGTGTTTCATACTTGGATTTTATTGTATGTGATGATATATATGATAGGTACAGGGTATGATAGACAATGCTGACCATCAATGTTATCTTTGTAATGATGTTTCACTTAATGGACAATCTACCATGCACTGGGGCTCATTCATCTTTCATTTATTGCAACAGGGCCACATATGGCTCCTTTGCAAGACCCATTTAAATCATTTGAGGAAGTACAGTGCTCAACAAAATGATGTGCTTGTTTGAGTTTTCTTCAGGTTATCCACGTAAATGTGGACAGGAAAGAAGAAAATGCAGAGGCAAGACTAAAGTTGTTCATGTTTCTGTGCTTCAGCTGGACTGAGTTTGTGAAGGCTTTCGAAGAGATTAATGGAATATGACTTGAAATCCATTTTTGCTTTATTTATTTGTAGTTTTAAGCTGAAATTCAAGTTAGATTTGCTGCACTTATATGGAGGCAACTGTAGCTCTTCAGTTTGGCTGCCCTTTCATTATAGAATAAAGTAAAATTCTATCTTTAAATTTGCATTTGTACTTCCCAGGGAAAGCACATGGGATTTTATATGCAATAAAATCAAATTCCAAGTCTGAAATTAAATTGCAGAGTATTTCTGTATTTTAACCTTTGCTTGTAGCTTGGGTATCTTTGCAGGGTATCTTTGCAGGGTTTACAGAAATATAACCAGAATGACTGAAGAAAAGTGTAATTTTAAGATTCAGAGAAATAACAGATGAACAATTCCATTAGAAATGGAAAAACAAACAATAACCTGCCTTTTACAGCCCTAACTGCATAATATTAAGGGCCTGTTGCAAGCAAACTGGAAGTTAAATAAATGAGCATAGCAAGCATGTTTTCTGAAAAGGGAGTTTGTCTAGAATTACAAATTCACACAAAAACATGACAGGCATCTCTAAACGCTATACATCGTATTTATTTAGAGTATAGATGAAATCTTCTGAAGTTGGATTAATTGAGAATCCATTTGTGAACACTAATTTGACTGGTTCCTTTGAAGTCTCAGAATAGGAAAAATAGCATACAAGAATCACGTATATTTAACTATGCCTCTGGGCGCTAGTGCTTATTACCATACATTAAAGGTACCTAGCAGAGCTCTGCACTACTAAATAGCAATATATTAAGCATTTAGCATGTCAGAAGTCAAAATACTGAGACCTAATAACTCAACCATGACGCTAGTGAGGAAACACTATCCAATACCAAGTGTTTCTTCATAAAATTTATTAATTGTATCAATGCAAGCACACTACAAGCACCACAGAGTATAGTCCATGGATGGTGTTAAGAATTCAGTGTTATAATGCAATCCTAGTTGGCTCTGAAAATGAGGCACAAAGTGCCTCCACTAGAAGGATTCTAGAGGATTCATTATTTTATTAATCTCACATCCTAAATTTTGTTAATCTGCAAATAAGCCAACAAACTAGTATAGGTAACTGAGTAATTTAAATTTGGCTTAAAATGAACTGAAGAAAGGAAAAGTTAAGCTGTTCCACATTCACTCTTATGTCATGGACAATGCTGACCTCAACTAATTGCAAGTAGTATGAGTTCAGTAGAACTCTAAACAAGTAATCTAATTCTCCCCTATTCACACTTACATATTTAAAGGTTAACACCTCCCTCCCCAATGACTGGTATTGGGATACACACAGTTTAATCAGTCTCTCTTCAGCTCATTAGGCTATTTTGCTCACTTGTAAATGACTGCTCCTTTGCTGTTTGCTAGATTGCATCACATTTGAACCATACATTTTTAGTTATCCTTATATAATTGATAAGAGCCTATGCTATCTTTTTGTTAAGTGTAAACTGCAGATGTTTGTGGATATCATGGGGTACTTCAAAAATTAAAATCCCTTTTAAAAAAGGGGTACCCAACTCCTGGTCCCTGGCCCAGTACTGGTTGGGAACCAGGCTGCACAAGCGGCAGGCAAGTATGCAAAACTCCATTAGTGCAACCGGCAGGTGTGTGTGTGAAACCATCCTCTTACCCCTCTCCCCGCTGAACTGCTGAGCTGGAAATGTTAGAGACCACTGCTTTAAAATAGTAAATTAGGAGATCAACATAAGCAAACAAAACCAATAAGTACATCATTATTTGTGAATTGATCTAAAAATTAACTCTTCATCTCTGATACCTGCTCAGATATAATTGCTAGTATTTTCGGGATGACAATTGTACCACAGATACCATTGAGATAGTTTAACTTTTACTAGCCTTTATATCATTTTCCCCCCAGTTTTTCCAGTTTCAGTATCAGTTTTGATACTGTTTGCATCATACTAACCATCTGCTAAACATTTACTTTTAACTCTGTATTGTGAAAGCAGAATGCCTTCTATGAGTACAGGTAGAGTACAGATATTTCTTGACTTAAAACCATTCGTTCAGTAACCATTCAAAGTTACAATGGCACGGAAAAAAGTGACCTATGACTGTTCTTTAAATTTTGAGATTGTTGCAGTAACCCTGTGATCACATGATCAAAATTCGGACACTTTACAACTGGCTCATATTTATGATGATTGCAGTGTCCCAGGGTCATGTGATTCCCTTTTGCCACCTTCTGACAAGCAAAGTCAATGGGGAAGCCAGCCTCACTGAACTGTGTTACTAACTTAACAACTGCAGTGATTCAACAACTATGGAAAGAAAGATCGTAAAATGGGGCAAAATTCACTTAACAATAAGTAAAAATGTGTCTCTCTTAGCAATAGAAATTTTGGGCTCAATTGTCATAAGTCAAGGACTACCTGTATTTCTCAGTAGGGGTAAATAGGCTTGTCTTAATAAATAAAGAATTGAAAGGTTTGACTATTTCAAAAGCTTTCTTGATAGTTACATTATCCCACCCCCCCACCCCCACTTATTGCTTTACATTAAGTAGCTAAAACGCTGAGCTTGTCGATTGAAAGGTCAGCAGTTCGAATCCCTAGTGCCATGTAATGGGGTGAGCTCCCATTACTTGTCTCAGCTTCTGCCAACCTAGCAGTTTGAAAGCACGTAAAAAATGCAAGTAGAAAAATAGGGACCAACTTTGGTTGGAAGGTAACAGCTTTCTGTGAACCTTTGACGTTTAGTCATGCCGGCCACATGACCACGGAGACATCTTAGGACAGCACTGGCTCTTTGGTTTTGAAACGGAGATGAGTACTGCCCTCTAGAGTCAGGAACAACTAGCACATAACCTTTACCTTTAATGTTCATCACAGGCAGAAAATGATGCTGATCCTTTTAATAAGGTCTGTATGAATGTAAACAACACCCAACAGAAGCCATTGATTTTGAGCTTTATGTTTGCAGCAATGGTTGATCTGTTTTTCCCTGCTTATTACAACTGACAGAGTGTATATACATTGTTTTTAAATAGTTTTGTTTAAATGAAAGAATTAAAGGAGAATTTAAGCAATCTACTTAAGTTATTATGAGACATACTGTTAGCTCTATGTAGAAAACATCAGAAAAATATCAGAAAAATTATGCTTTATTATTAATTCGCCTTATACCTTAGATCTGCTTTAAACCTGCAGTTCATTACCTCTCTATATCTTATCTGGAATATTATTTGCATAATAATGCAGTTTGTAACTCTTCTAAGAAAATAAATTTGTCTGCCAGTATTAGGAAATGACAGTGTACAGTTAAATCTAATAGCCTGGTTTGGAAAGTTATTCAGTGGTTTCCATTGAAAATAGTAGCATTTTTTGATAATATCAACCAAAAAAAAAATCACTTCCATTTTACAATCTTTTCAAACGGCAGAACTTAGACTGCCAACTTTTATTTGTCCTAGGTGTTTCAAGTGAAAAATGGATGTGAATTGTACATGCACATATAGACCAGTGTTTCTGAGGTTTGGCAACTTTAAAGGTGTGGACTTCAACACCCAGAATTCCTCCTGTTTTAAAGTTGCCAAGCTTGAGAAACACTTACCTAGATACATTCCCTCAAATGACAGAATTTCTGTTGGATTTTAAATGCTTTTTGATAAAAAGCTGGGGCATCCAATACTCTTAAAATGTTTTGAGGCAGCTTTTATTGAACAAAGCCAGTACTCGTTGATGAGACATTTTTCTCCCTTGCTGTGTTTAATTTGATGTGTCCTAAGTTGTTTCCTTCTTAAAGAGTATGGTGTATCATGGGGAAAGTTGTCTCTTATAGGTAACACTTGACTACCTCCCAAAAAACAGGGATAAGGCCATCTCTTCCAATGAGCTTCTTTTTATGTAGAATCTCGTCCTTGAGGTTGAAAAAGCAAGAACTGTAGGAAGCCTATCTGATACCTTAGGAAGCACTTGTTTCAAATAGTTTTCTAAGTCAAAAAATTTCAGTGCCTAGACGTCATTTTTCCATTTCCATAAACTAAGTGCTCTGCTGTTGTCAAAAGAAGGAAATGACCACATGTGGTCAGTTAATGCTTTCATTAGATAGTAAAGTCAGTAGTGAAAATGGACTTTTCCCTGTGATTTCTAACTCATAATGCTAATTTTACTCAGGGCATAGATTAACTAGTGCATTAAATACTTTTTACCATTATGTCGTCTACTGTTGTAAATTCTTAGATGCCTAAAAATGGTATTTTATCAGTCTAGCTTTCTACCTTATTTTAAAAATGGCTTTTTAAAAATGGCTTTTTTAAAAAATTGTTATGGCTCTTCTTCAGTTTTCTTTGTGTTTGAAACAACTTATTTTGTCTTTTAAATCAAAATAGCTATGGGCCCCATCTTAGGTTAAGTACCAGTCTCTTTGTATTGGACTGTTCCTGAAATGAAGAGGTGAAATTATGTTTTACTTAACAGCACAAATTATTAATTTCTTCTGCTCAATATGACATCTTAACTGAGCATGTCTTCTAATACCAAGGATATGAATCTTGTATAGATTCAATATTATGTGATGAGAGATATTATACATAAGATGCAAACCTTAGCAATTAGGTTGATATTTGTGCATATTTAATAGAACCAATTATTAGGAAAATATTTTTTAACATGGGGCAAACTCCAATGAAACTTAAATGTGTATGTTAATTAATATTTACTCTGATGTAAAACATACTGTCTTTAGTAAGTTTACTTCCAGATAAATATACATAGAATTGCATCTTAGGGCACATTTACAGTAAATCCCATTATTGTGCTTTCTGAAAATAAGGCTTTAAGAGTGCTAAATATTCATACATACACAGAAATAAATCCCACTGTGTACTACCAGGTCTTTGTATAGAACAGTACTGTATTACATTTTAAATTGGTTAGATTTACATTTTGAAATGTGTGGAAAGTATTCAGAACTAAATGTGGAATTAAACATAAGAGAGGAATTAAACACAATAGTGTATAACAATGTGCTTTTAAAAAGCTTGTTTATTTCCACTATACTGAATGCAACTTACATAAGTAACTTTAAACATGAGTGAATTAAATGTTTTTTTATTCATTTCTTTGAAACCTTAGAAGCTTTTCTGGAATTATTTTGTTGGATTTTTTTTTTTTACTTTGTGAAAGTAAAGTTTCCTGCCTTGATGCAATTTCAGCATAAATTTTCCAGTAAAACTGCTTTCAGTTTATATGTTCTGTTGCTCCAAAGTAATCAAGTAGATTAATACTGATAGGAGCACTTCATATTAAACCAAACAAAGCAAAGCTGTAGCCCATACAATACTTGTTTCCCACTATGTAAATTGAGTTGTGGTGAACCATGAATTTGCTTGTAAGTCCTTCTTTCATGAGGTTAGAAGCTTTCCCTTATGCTTTCAAATAAACCACAGTTCTCCACAATGTTCAGATGTGTGCATAGTTCTCCCCGTGTATATTTTTCATGTATTCTCTTTCTGATTTCGCTAATTTAAGCACATTGTGTCTGTGTCCCATCCCCCCCAGCAAGGAGGGGCAAGGGGGCAATCCCTGTGCTTTTTTGCTATCTCGTGAAATACTTTGTTTTCAATTACATCTGAATCATGCTTTTTAATTCTTCAGTAGTGATGTGGGAATGCATTCTGCCATTTTCACCTAAATTGGGGGTGGCAGCTTTAAGACTTGTGGCAGCTTTAAGACTTGTGCACTTCAACTCCCAGAATTCCCTAGCCAGCCTTGTTAAATCCACAGGTCTTAAAGTGCCAAGGTTGGACACCCCTGGTTTACATAATATGTTTTTCATTCATTGGAAAAAAATGACCAAATGAAGTTGTGTGCATAGCACCAAAAATAAAAATCTAAATAGCTTGTTCTGTTGTTCGGATGTAAAGAAGGAATTGGTTTCTAGCTTTTGCATTGTATTGCAATATGTAGTAACAAATGGTTAGTAAATTACTTGCAGCATATTAATTTCAATTTAATTCAAAACACTACAGTTTAATGCTCTGAATTTGTTCTACATTGCACTAGCAATTAATAAGTTAGAAACTTTCCATTTCGATACAGAATAAAGCAATAACTATATCAATGCAGTTGTTGATTTAACTGCAGATGTTCTAATTGATACCAATTTGTTAATGACTGTTACATGATTCTAACATCTGCCAAATTTGCATTCAGCAAAAATGTAAGTGAAAATTATAATTCACTCTTAGAGTCCCTGTTTACATGTGCATTCTTAAACTGATGGGGAAGGGTTTGTGTATGTATTCATTTAATTTTATGCTACCCTTCAAAATAGTGTACACTACCCTAAAACTGTTGTATAGTACATATTGGGTAGAATAAATTAAGTAAATATTAAGTAGTTTGTTTCTCTGCATAGATACATTCTGGAATTCCACTGGTTTGCCCTTAAGGAAAAATAATATATCTGGAGTATAGAGCAGAGCACTAGCTAAAATGTTAATTTGAGTTATAGCTCCTCCTTCAACCAACTATTTGGGATGTTCTTTGAATGGCTTCAAACAAATTATGTTTAGGAAGTGTGTAAAAAATTTTTTTCAGCAAACTCATTTTAAAGTTTTAATCAGCTGACATACACATGCTTGCTCAGTGTTTCCTGACAGTAATTGTGATAGCTTTATAATACTTGATCAGTCTGAATAGTTGACTGAGTATAAGAGTAGCTTGCAATCTTTTCAGGCTAATGATTAAGCCACATTGCAAAAGAAAAAGTAGAAGATCTACAAATATTCTTGACAAACAAACCCTTAGAGTCATAGTAGTTTTGAGGCAATGAAGAATGTACTTGGACAGGCTTGGCCTCTTTCTATGCTGCACTTCATTTGTAGTATTGTTATCAGTAGCTAATCTCAGCTATATTTATATATTTTTAAATATCCCTGCTTAAAATACTGACAAAGGATTTAGAACAGTAATGGACACCTTGAAAAAGCATTTTCGTTAAAAAATATACAATTTAAGACAAGGGTGTCCAACCTTGGCAACTTTAAGACCTGAGGGCTTCAACTCCCAGAATTCCTCAGCCAGCATTCTTAGAATTCTGGGAGTTGACTTTGACAAAGTTGAACATCCCTGGTTAAAAATGAAGTTTTTTTCTTTTAGGATGACTCACTAAAGGAACAGAACAATCTGAACAGTTTGAATAAACCACACAATTCAGCTTCTGGATTTTGTCCCCAGCTTGTAGATTTTTGTTATTCCCTACAGAAAAATAAGGCAAATATACCAAACTGCATCACTGAAGGATCCATTTCTGATGCAAAAATATGGTTCAGATTATTATTGGCCTCAGTATTAAATCAAAGGCAGTGAATCTATGATGATGTGATGCAATTCAAATGTAAACCTTTTTTGTGCTACAGTATTGCTTAGTAGAAGACTTTGTAATACTTTCTGTGTAATTTCCTTGATTTTGCCATTTTCAAACTACACGGTACCTATTTTGGTGCAATAAAATGTCCTTTATAGCTGCTTTCATCGTTTTTAATTGCTGCTATAATTTAGATTTAAATTATTGTACTGTAACTACTTAGGAACCCTTAGTATTTCCATATTCATTATCACTGTATCCCCTCTTTCTTTATAGATTTGGATCTTTTACTTTGCAAACTGATGCTTAATTTTGTGATTTTATTAAATTCTGTGTGGATTTGGAGAAGAGTTGGAAATGTTATTCTACTTAAGATTGTATTAGCTGGTTGTCACAGTAAAAGTGGATGACAACGACCGATGTCCGACTTTAGCTTTGGATTTATGTATATTAAATGAATTCTTTTTTTTTTTCTGATTATATCAAACTTCAGATTACAGACTGATGCTTGGGGTTCTTTCCATCCCTAAGCAGATATCTTCCAATTCTAATAAGCAAAATCATAATAGTGACAAAGGCATTGGGCAGCAAAGTGAATTTTTCACTATTTATCATTTACATTTGGGTGTGTATGGGGATTTTGTATGTGTTTATATAGAATGTTCTAGTACTAAGCACAGTGTAAGTTATTGTATTAGTGTATAAAAAGAAAAAATAGTGTACTTTTTCTGGTTAAATAAAGACAGTTTTTAAATAAAATTTTCTCCTAGAATCTCAGACTTCCTCTTTCATTTTTTCATATACTAAAACCCTTTTTTGTTTAGATTTCCACTTGCTATTCATATCTTTAGATCAGAAATGTACAACTTTGGCAACTTTAAGACTTGTGGGTTTCAATTCCCCGAATTCCCCAGTCAGCCATGCTGGCCAGGGAATTCTGGGAGTTGAAGTACACAAATCTTAAAGTTGCCAAGCTTGGACACTTCTGCTTTAGTTATTAAAACTTACTGCAAACACTTAACATTGGATCATGAGAATAACAATTCTATCATTTAGGTGTAAAGAATGATATCATAGCTACATTCCTCTAGGAGTCTATTTGAATGAAAACATTGAAAACAAATATTAAAAACAAATCCTAGAAGAAACAAACAGTGATATCGTCGCTCTTGCATATATTACAGAGTACACAGGATTGTATTATATTCCACATGGCAGTCTCCTGAATAGCAGCTATCACTTAGAGAGTTTGAAGTACCAGGAGATTTCAGTGTTGAAGGCTCCATGCTTCTGGCAGCTGTCATATCAAATAGGCATTTGGACAGTTCAGCACTCTATTGTTATTATCATTATTATTGAATCAATCTATTTCCCTTGGCCCCAAAAATCTGACAGGAAGTAGCCTGGAGGAGCCAGCATGATTGACAAGAAATCAGAAGTGGGTCATTTTTTAATCATGAAGTTTGAGAAATTCCTTGCAGCATAGAAATTGCCATAATTGTGACATCAATAGTGTATTTATTTATTGCAAGCACTTTTATGCCTCCAATCAGAAAGTAAATTTAAATGCATCACACTAGTTGTGAACAATAAATACATTACATCATCCTTAAAAAGAAAAAAGACAATCATAATACCAAGTGTCTCAGCTATGTTCTGCGTGCATATCATACCCAGAAATACCCTGTTAAACATTAATTTCCTCTTAAATACGAAAAAAATAATCAAATGCAACTCTAAATATTTCTATCCTTGTCTAGCAATATGTAAGAACAGGAACAATAAATATGAAGCAGGTAAAATAAGAAAAAGTTAATAAAATGTTCGATTGACTATGCTCTCAATTTGGCATTGACTGTTAGTAGTGCACAGATAGATTTTCTCCTAGACAATGTGTCTTCACCCTGGTACTTCGAGTTTTCCAACTGTTTCCCCATCAACATTGTAACTGAGTTCATCCTCTTAATAGTCAACCTCTTCTCTTCATTCTGCCTTTCCTAGCATTACAGACCTCTCCAGAGAGTTTGGTCTTCACATAATGTATTCAAAGTATAAACTGAGCCTGATCATCTGTGCCTGTAGGTTGATCAGTTCAATCCATTCTTTTCTGGGATATAATAAAATACCGCATATGATTATTTTAAAAAGAGAATTAAAATTAGGTATTTTCCTAGCATTCAAAGGATATCGAGGAGAGTCGTGGAAATGAAAAGATATGCTTGTCAAGAAGCCCTTGTCATGGTCATAATACATCACAGCTCAAAATGTATCCTGGAGAAGAGCTTTCAATAATGTCCCCATACAAATCGCTTTATAAGAATATTTGTCAACAAAAAACCTGGAATTACCATGAAAGAAAAAAGAGCTGTTCAGATTTTGAACAACAAAATTGAGTGATAGGATAAGGAATAGATTTTTAATGAAATTAATGTGGCTTAATTTCCTTTATATAGGTGTAACGTTCTTTTTTTAGCTCAAGAGTCACCAACCCTTTGGACCTCGGGGACCACTAAAATCATAATTTTAAATCCCGCGGACCACTAATATGAATTTTTTAAAAAGATAAATAGTATTTAGTGCAATATAAAAAGATGTAAATAATTTTTCTGCGGACCACCAAAATTTTCTCACAGACCACCAGTCATGGACCATCAGTTGGTGACTGCTGCTTTAACGTATTGTATACTGGTAATGCGTTGAAATAGATGTTCATGAGAAATTAATCAAATGAAGTTATGTTTTGTTATAGCAAAAGACTAACAATTAAAAATAGTCTTATAAGTATTGAAATACCTAGACAATAGGCTGCACAACACTGAAATAATCGTACAGCTGTTGAAAGAATCACATTACTAGTTATCTACTGGTGCACACTACAAGATGCTGTACAAAATTTTACTACTAGGTTTTAGCAGTTTATCTGGAAGAGCCAGGAATATTTTAAAGGTATGGATTACTATCGCCGAATATTTAAAGCATCTAATTGACAGCATTTTCCTGGATGTTACAATTGTTCATTTGGGAATTTTTGCAAATGACAAATTTTTATATTTGTTCATTAATCAGAAGATACTGTATCTGGTCTCTATAAGTAAATTATAATCAAAGGTGAGCAATACATAGAAATAGGCCTACTCATAGATTAACTTGCAGAAGCATTCCCTATTCTCGGTTATTTAATAATAGATGGTTATTCTTCCATCACTCTCTAAATTATATTGGTCAAATGAAGACAGCTAAGTTAATTCAAGCAGGAGAGTGGATTTCATTTAACTTCAATCTAAAAATCTTGAATTAATTGTTTTAAATGGTATGCATATATATTTGAGTTATATTTCCACATATGTTTAAAAAACTCTTCACACAAGAGTTGTTGAATTGTGTAATCACTTGGAGCATGGGGTTCTACCTAAAAAGGAGAAATTAAGAAACAAAGATCGGGTGCTTCAAAAAATTTTAAAAAATTAAAACCTAACCTATAGGTTATTGCACAATAACCTATAAATAGAGTACTAATAAAGGGCAGGTGGAAACTAAACCATCACAACCATGGATGACTGCTGCACTGCCCAATAAATGTTTTCCCCCACCAATAGTGATGTCTAAGAAATGCATTCAACTGAATATAAATTATTATTTTTAACAGACTACCCATAAAAGACCACTGCCCAGCTTTGTTTTTTACCCAATTTTTTCTGCGTACAGTATGTTTTGAGGGAAGAAAACGAACTGGATATTATTTTGAGGATGGGTGGGAGGAGAACATAATGTAGAACAGGGGTGTCAAATTTAAGGCCCACGGGCCAGATCCTGCCTGTGGAGTACTTAAATCTGGCCCATAGGGCTGGCCTGGAAATATCAAAGGACCGGCCCGTGGGGCCTCTGCCTGTTAAAACGGGCCACAGGGGGGCCATGTGTGGCCCCTGCATGGTCTGTTTTTGGCCTCCCCGGCCTCCAGCACTCTGCCAGCCAAAAATGGACAGTGCAGAGGCCCCGTAAGGCCCATTTTTGGCCATCAGGGTGCTGCAGGAGGCCGGGGAGGCCGAAAATGTCATGCACGGCCCCCCATGCCCTGTTTTGGCTGTCAGGGTGCTGCAGGAGGCATCCGTCCCCTCTCCCCCCACCGGCCCATGGAGGAGAACTTCAGTGCTGATTTGGCTCTCGTAGAAATCTAGTTTGACACCCCTGATGTAGAACACAATGGATTTGCGAATTGTTGTGCATTTTAATTCTTCACCTTTTCTTCAAATGAAATTGAAGGAAATTATGAGAAGGCCCAAAAGGAACAGACTGCTTGGTTCCAGCTGATGTCCTTTGGGCAGCCTTTCCAATTTTGTCTTCTTTGACCGCAAACAATTTTAACAAAAATTAAAACTCTGGCAATTCATTCATCTGCAGTGATACTGACCTACAGTATTTCCATCATCAGTATTAGAAAAATTGAAGGAAGAGAAAATGTCTTAGGATTTGAAGCAAAATATGAAGCCTTATTAAAACAAATTGTATATACTCTTTGTGTCTTCAGTTGTCTGTAGTATGACTGCCAAACCCTCTGGTTACCTGACCTAAGCATGTTAAAATGATAAATTTCTACTTTATTCACTTGGGTCACCCAATAACCATATCATTAATAACAGTCACAGTAAAATCATGCTATTATTGAAGAATTTGAAGTTTAAGAACTGAGTGGACTCTACATTTCCCTAAACTCTGAAATTTTAACATATCAAAAAGTTGCCTCATACGTACAGTAGGGCAAAAAAGTATTTAGTCAGCCACCAATTGTGCAAGTTCTCCCACTTAAAAAGATGAGAGAGGCCTGTAATTGTCATCATAGGTAGACCTCAACTATGAGAGACAAAATGAGAAAACAAATCCAGACAATCACATTGTCTGATTTGGAAAGAATTTATTTGCAAATTATGGTGGAAAATAAGTATTTGGTCACCTACAAACAAGCAAGATTTCTGGCTTTCACAGACCTGTAACTTCTTTAAGAGGCTCCTCTGTCCTCCACTCATTACCTGTATTAATGGCACCTGTTTGAACTTGTTATCAGTATAAAAGACACCAGTCCACAACCTCAAATGGTCACACTCAAAACTCCACTATGGTGAAGACCAAAGAACTGTCGAAGGACACCAGAAACAAAATTGTAGACCTGCACCAGGCTGGGAAGACTGAACTGCAATAGGCAAGCAGCTTGGTGTGAAGAAATCAATTGTGGGAGCAATAATTAGAAAATGGAAGGCATACAAGACCACTGATAATCTCCCTCGATCTGGGGCTCCATGCAAGATCTAACCCCGGGGGGTCAAAATGATCACAAGAACGGTGAGCAAAAATCCCAGAACCACACGGGGGGACCTAGTGAATGACCTGCAGAGAGCTGGGACCAACGTAACAAAGGCTACCATCAGTAACGCACTACGCCGCCAGGGACTCAGATCCTGCAGTGCCAGACGTGTTCCCCTGCTTAAGCCAGTACATGTCCGGGCCCATCTGAAGTTTGCTAGAGAGCATTTGGATGATCCAGAAGAGGATTGGGAGAATGTCATATGGTCACATGAAACCAAAGTAGAACTGTTTGGTAGAAACACAACTCGTCATGTTTGGAGGAGAGAGAATGCTGAGTTGCATCCAAAGAACACCATACCTACTGTGAAGCATGGGGGTGGCAAGATCATGCTTTGGGGCTGTTTCTCTGCAAAGGGACCAGGATGACTGATCCATGTACAGGAAAGAATGAATGGGGCCACGTATCGTGAGATT